GAGTGAAGCGATGCAACTGATGCAGGGGGGTCACATGACCATGACAAAATGGCGGATGTAGTATATCCGAATTCACACTTCTCACGTTCATACTGTATAGAAGGCACTTTTCTAACGGCAGAGTAGTACGTTTCAATTCAAATGCAGTACCTTCTGAGGCGGTTTCAGATGCAACCATGGAGTCCCAATTTGGCGTCAACAACATCAAAGCATGGACCAATCCTGCCTTCAGCAGTTCAGGCTGGTGCTAGGTGTGTGGGGGATATTTTCTTGGCACGCTTTGGGCCCATTAGTACCAATTGAGAATCGTGTCACTGCCACAGCCTACTTGAGTATTGTTGCTGACCATGTTCATCCCTTCATAACCCCAGTAAACCCATCTTCTGATGGCTGCTTCCAGCAAAATAACGTGCCATGTCATTAAGTGCGAATCATCTCAGATTGGTTCCTTGAACATGACAATGAGTTCACTGTACTCAAATGGCCTTCACAGTCTCCAGATCTCCAATAGAGCACCTTTGGGATGTGGTGGAATGGGAGATTCGCATCATGGATGTGCAGCCGACAAACCTGCTGTCAATATGGACCAAAATCTCTGATGAATATTTCCAGTACCTTGTTGAGCCTATGCCACGAAGGATTATGGCAAAAGGAGGGTCCAACCCAGTACTGGTAAGGTGTACCTAATAAAGTGGCCGGTGAGTGTAGACTAGTACACTCCGCTTAGCTTTGCAAAAACAATTAAGTTAAATTGATCAGTTTGTGTTGGGACAACATGAAGGAATTGAGTGGAACCCAGATTTTTTACAGTGTATTAGCCAACAAATTAGTTTGGATAGTGCCTCAAGAGCAGCCCCTATTGGGTTCAGATATACATGGAATATGAAAAGAGAGATATTTCCAGCTGCTGTGCATGCTTTCAAAACATCAGTCTCGGATATAAATGAATGTCAAAGTAAGAACTGAGTGTATTGCAGATGGAAAACACACAGCTGCATGAGCATGGTATCTTTCTGGTGCTGTGAAGCAGAGCAGACAATCCATCATCTCACTGTTCACAACTGTGAGAGAGCTTTCAGAGTAAAAGGTGTAAAAATCGGATTAAATGTATCAGTTGTCAGTGTGTGTGGGTGCGTGTGTTAGTGCGAGGTAGCTGTTGAGGTGTCACTATTAAGCATGTGGTGTGATGGTGATTGGGTGTGGTGGGGATGTGGGTGATTGTGAGAGAGGAAGGGTGTGGACATGTGTGTGTGTGATTGTGTGTGTGTTTATGTGCAACTGAATTTCCCACAGTAAAAAGCTGACACGAGCCACTGCATGAAATTCTCATTTGTTTACTGTTACCTTGCAGATTTTCACAGCATATAAAATGAATTGATATCAAATTGATTATTACAAGGTTTGGATTGAAATGGTTACTAGAGTAATCAACATATTTAGATGGGCAGTGAATTACAGAGGAAATTACAAATACTCAAACTACTGTAATTGAGTTGTTTTTTCAGGAATTGTAATTTAATAAGTAGTATTAAGAATGTGTACTTTTAATTTGCCTTGAGTACATTTTTAGTGCTGTATCTGTACTTTTACTCCACTAATTTCCTTCAACCTGTAGTCACTACTTTCTTTCTTGTCTTGTTTGGGTAAAGTAAAAAAAATCAGTCCTGCAATTCCTGTCCAATCAAATCGCACAAAGAAAGTAAATCGCCTCATACTGAACAACCTCAAGACATGGGCGCTTTATAAATGCAGCAAACCTTTTGGAAGCATCAAAAATGTCCAAGAAGATTTCCAAAATCTTTACATGCATTGACCCAGAGACAGTTTATAGACTGCATGTCACTGAAGAGAAAATGAAGGATGTTCACTGTATGATATTTGAAATCATTAAACACCCTTAAACAATCATTTAATGGAATGAATGAAGAATGGAAGAATGGGCCGAACAAGGAAGGACCAAACTAATGAAAGAAGGACCAAATGAATCAAATAAGGATTCAAAAAAGAACTGAACAAGCTAAGGAAAGACGCAATGAACGGATAAATGAATAAATGAACGAACAAAGAACCTATTGAAGGAAGTAACAAAAATCTGAACGACTGAATGAATGAGCGAAGGACCAAACAAAGGAAGGAACAAAATATGAGCGAACAAAACAAAGGAGAAATGAAGAAAGGACCAAATGAATGAAGGACGGATTCAAGAAAGGACTGAACAAGCTAAGGAAGGAACGAACCAACGAACAAATGAATGAATAAATGAACGAACAAAGAACCTATTGAAGGAAGTAACAAAAATCTGAACGACTGAATGAATGAGCGAACAAACGAAGGGAGGAACGAAGAAAGGAACAAATGAATTAAGGAAGGAACAAACAAATGGATTAATAAAGGATTGAACAAACAATGGAAGGAATGTTGTATGGAACGAAATATGGAATATAGGAAGATCATTAAATGCACTACAGAACATACTGCATGTAAACGCATCAACTTTTCACAGAGTAATTCTCACTGCTCACTACTTTTGAGTACTTTAAAAGGGTCTTTTTACTGCTATTTTGAGCTATATTCACAACAGATACCTTTACTCTATTTGCACTACGTTTTGGGCAAGTTATGGTACTTTTACTTGAGTTTGATTTTTCAGTACTCCATACACTACTGAAGATAGGGAAAAAACAATACAAAAATATGGGTGGTAAAGGCCTTGTCCTGGCTTAAGTTTAACCCTGTTCGTGAAACTAAGCCTTTTAAAATCTAATTCAAAGCCAAATAGGTCTAGGTTATAGATACATTTTCAGAATCAATCTTTTTAATGGTAAAAAATAAAGGAAGATAATCTTCAGCCCAACATAAAAGTCTAAATTTAACTTTCATACCCAGTTTAAACCAAACTCTAACCCTAATAAGTCATTATGCTAATGCTAAACTGAACACATGTGAATGGGTTGACCCCACCATGAAAATTAAGCATGCGGTTTTACTACAAATATGTTATGTAATGTAATGTGTGTGTATTTATATAGCGCATTCATTGTGTATGACCATACACCGAAAGCACTTCACAATCATGAATATATTTTTTAAAATATGAGATTGTAGTTTGTTTTCACTGAAAAACACGACAATCAAAGCAAATAATGTAACATTTTGTGAAAAGCCATGACAAAATCAAGTCATTTTAGGCCACAAATATTTTTCTAAATGACAATGCAATACTCAACACTGACAAATCGTTACCAATATCTAAAGCAAACCAACACACATGCTAAAAAAACACCCAACTAATACACTATATGCATAGTGCTTTTACACCTTTACTACATTAAAGCCATGGTTATTTTTGTTTAAAGGTTATGTTAAAAACCAATGTTACCAACTTAAGTGGTAAACTAAAAACCAAGTATAGAGCCTCAGACTAACGCTAAGGGTTAATAAGGTTAACCCTCAGTGTGAAACTATATCTTAACCTAAGTTTAAGTGTAGACCCAAGCCTAACAACTCAATCCTGTTTGTTGTCACACTCAAAATGGCTAAACGACATGAAAGGTTTTCAAAATAGCCTTGAAAGAAACTATGAAGTAGAGACGGATGGGGTTATATAGAAAAGTAAGAAAGAAAGTAAAACAAGAGTGCTGAAAGCTGTAAAAGCCTCAGTGGAGAGCTGAAATTGTAACTTCATAAATAAAGCATCCACTTGCTCTGACCTCTCATAACCATCTCCTCCATATTCAGTGTTTAGTGTAGTGGAACACACACACACACACACACAATCAGAAAAACACAAAATAATTAACATCCACCTTCTAAACATAATCACAGACCCACACTTGAACTATTCAACCCCACACTTACCCAACATGTGTGAGATCTAGGTTTCAGCAGGGAAGTGAGAAAGTAAATGTGAAACGCTCTCAAGCAGGACAACAGTGAGAAATCATGCTAATGTCCACTCTAATGCATCTACAACCACTTTGATTTTGCAGTTTGGAAAATAATCAGCATCTTAATCAGAAAGTTCAGTCACTCTGAAAGGTCTAGTCAATCAGAACTTGGACCCTATTGATTTTTATTGCATGAACAGAACAAAAGCACCAACAAAATAGTAAAAAGCTACTAAATTAACAACTTTTTTAACCTTTAATAGTCTAAAATATTATATTAATAGTCATTTAATAGCCTATGTACAGTATTTATGCTGCTGACACATAAATATCAGATTTTAATGTGGTCAATAAACATTTCTCTGGGAAAAAACTGACAAATGTGAACGCAAACATTGAAAAAAAGCAACAAGTATAGAAATATAGAACTTAATTGCATGTTAGCAAGTATCATAGAAACAAATAAAAGACTGAAATACTTTTTTCGTGTTAAACAAAAGAAAATTGTCAAATAAGCTTGATTTAAAGCTTAAAAAAAAAAGGAAAAAGTGAGATAATGAAGAACTAATTATTGGATTTATTATGTTAAAAAAGCAATTGTTAGTCTAAAAACAGGCTTATAACCAGTAAGCCTAAATCAATGCCTTCTTTTCCATGCTGAAAATATATTTACTACTCACTTTAAAAAACACCCTCTCATTTTCAACTGTGGTACCATTTGAGAAATCTTCTCTGTTGCAACTTTTGAAAAGTCCTGGTCCCGTATGAGTGAGCAATACTTGAATGAGAACTTGTCTGAATGCCCTCAAACACATCTGCATACATACACATACATCTATCCACTATTACAACACTCCTAATATCCTCGCCCATGCGTTAAAAATATCGCAGAACTATTACAAATCAATATATGCTATTCTCAGCAGTAAATTCCAGCACACCCAGCCTTATAAATCAAAGTGAGAGTGTAAATAAATGCAGATTAAAAAAATGGCACATGCAAGCACGCCGATGAGCATAAATAAACACCAGCGAGCACCTCTTTCACACAGGGCATCTGGCAGACATTTCCACACAGCTGACAGCTGATGCTGTTTCACATGAGCAACGTACCATCCAAATCCACCGAAGGATACGCTCCTCTTCCTCCTCAGCATGATCCCTCTTTATTCTCCTCAAACTCCAATTGGTCTTCACTGCCTGCCTGCTATCGTCCTCTTCAGTATCTCACAATCACTCTTTCTGTTTCCTCAGTGTCTCATCTCTCTCTCTCTCTCTCTCTGAAATGATTTCATTCTCCACCCTCTTTCTCACTCTTTGTGTGTGTATGTATGTGAGTGTGACAGTTTGGGGTTCTTGCACCTGCTGTGTCACTCCCTCTCACTTTAACTCCACACATGTACTGAGCAGCAGAGAGGGCGGAGGATGAGGAAGAGGAGGAAGGAGGGGTGGCTGACGGCAATATTTTTTTAATCTCGTTCTCTCTAGAGACCCTCAGGGCCTTCTGTCTGCTGGAATATAGAATATGAAGGCTGCCTGAAACAGCCTCATAAGTGAAAGAGATTTGAACAGTAATGTGAGAGAATCATCCTGCAACATCTTACCTTTTAATGTCTGTTAGCATCCTTTAGACTTTTCAAGCAGTTTAGCCTGCAACCCATTGAACTCAAGTATGAATTAATAATGAGATCAAGAATGAGTGCATTGCGTAATAAGCGGATGCTCATAGCAAATGATGTATTAGGGTATGTGATTATAGAAAAAAAGATACATGAGTTTTGAGAAATACATCTGTGAGAATTTTTGTTTTTCCCCGGTTTTAGTTTCCACATTTGTATTAGATTTAGGATTTGATCAGTGACACGCATCGCTAAAATCTTCATTTGAAAAAACTTTAAAAAGAATTTTCTTGATAAAAATCCAAAATCAAACAAAAGGTGCTCAAGGGTAGCTTAAATAATGTGTCGGTGCTCTATTTGGGTGAGGGATTAATATGATTAAGCAACAAAAATCAGTCCAAGACACCTAAAACAATGTGGAAAAAAATATTAAAATATATTTTTTATTTTATATTAAATTTTTTTAAATACTTTTTCCACATTTTTTGAGTGGCTTGGACAAATACTTGCTGAATTGTTTGGTATTTGGATGTTTTAAAGCCTCAGGTTCTAGGTTTTTTAAATTGTTAATCTCATTCATTCATGTATTTTCCTTCGGCTTAGTCCTTTTATTAATCAGGGGTCACCACAGTGGAATGAACCGCCAACTTATCCAGCATGTATTTTATGCAGTGGATGCCCTTCCAGCCGCAAGCCAACACCGGCAAACACCCATACACTCCTACATTCACATATTAGCTCATTCAATTCACCTGTGCCACATGTCTTTGGACTGTGGGGAAAACCAGAGCACCAGGACGAAACCCACGAGAACATGCAAACTCCACAAAGAAATGCCAACTGACCCAGCCAGGGCTCGAACCAGTGACCTTCTTGCTGGTAGGCGACCGTGCGACCCACTGCGCTTATTATTCAGCTTTTGTGTGTTGTATAAAAAATAGACACTTTGACTAGTCCAGGGTCACATATTTGGTGTAATAAACTGGATGTAGATTCATATCACCTGCAACAAATTTAGCAAACTCTCATTTTTTGTGGAAATCAACTACAAATAACAAACTATTTGTTTGAAATTAAGATATTTTCTAAGAATTTTATAAAAAGGCAATTAATATTGCATTTTTACTTAAACACATACCTAATAAATCCAGAGAAACTTTTCCCATAAATGAATATCTCTGTAATTGTAGGAATTCAAACAAGAACTGAAAAGGATTTAATGTGATCAAAAATTATGAATAAACAAAGCATTTAAGTTTTTACTTTTTGTGATACAAATAATACTAAATATTTGCATAACTAATATGCTTACCCCACACTTTTGTCATTATAATCTGCCAGCTATGAAGTTCCACCGACTCTATCTGAATGGCCATCTCATTCAGGTTAATAATAATGAGTGCTGTTAAAAAATCTGTCCAGATGCAGAAATGCTATCATGCTAAAAACAAAAAAGAGCAGCATCAATATCACATGTCAGTGTTTATGGCGCTTGCATCATCGCAGAGACTGAAAGTGATGTGATTTGATTCCGGGTTTATAGGAATTATATTAGCGCCCCCTTCTGGAAATAGAAAAACTCCACGCTTTCAGATGGCACTAAACAAGACAGGATTAAACACAAATGTATTCATCATTAGGACTAAACAGAAAAAAAAAAAAAAAAAAATATATATATATATATATATATATATATATATATATATATATATATATATATATATATATATATATATATATTTAAGAATAGTAATTTAAAAAGTTTTCTTCTTGTATTAATTGTGTTTTAATTAAATAGTTCATTGATACCATTCAACGCTTGCAGAATATTCCATATTTCAGTAAATTTATAAGGATTAATTATCTGTTAAATTCCCTAACTCACTCTCTGGCTTATCTATATCTATCCTGCCTAATCAAGGGTCACCACAGCGGAACGAACAGCCAGTGTGTTTAAATTTCGTTGTGCACATCTGACAAAATCAGGAAAATGCGACTCTTTTCCGCTGCGAGCAGGGTTCGAACCTGCGCGGGGAGACCCCATTGGATTTCAAGTCCAACGCCTTAACCACTCGGCCATCGCAGCTCACCGTCATGGCCTAAAAGCATGGTATAAGATGTGAGATACCATCCCAAACTCCATCAGATGTTATAACAACATGGTTCCCTCGACAAAATCACCCACTTCTCCATCGGGGTTTGATTTTCTTAGTAAATGTATACGTCTGTGACTAACAACAACCACTAGATGGCGCCGTCATCTCAGTGGAAAATAGCGACTTCGTTTGAAACCCCATGCATTTTTGTTTTATACCGTGCGATGTTTGATGTTTTAAATTCTAGACCATGTTTAACGTTAGACCAACTAACTGCCGAAAAATACGAGAACATGTTTAAATATTTTAATATTTCTCACGTAAGCGTAAGAAAGCTTAGTCTTCACCGCCTTTTTCCTAAAATGTATTAGACTTAATAACCTAAAATATATTAGGTTTTTGATTATTCCGTTTGGGACAGATCGAGTGAGTGAAAACTGAAATGCCTGCTTAGTATTTTCACATTGCTTAATTTGGTTTCTTTTTCAAAAATAAAGATATTTTTGTTATGTTAAATTTTTCTTTATTTCTTAAAAGATTATAAAAAAAATAATAATTAGGATTATTGTTCAGAAAAATAACAAATATGTACCGCTCGAGCAATGAGCGGTATCGTATGATATATGGGCCAAGGCTCAGACCCTCTCTACGTCACGTGGGGATGTAGCTCAGTGGTAGAGCGCATGCTTCGCATGTATGAGGTCCCGGGTTCAATCCCCGGCATCTCCACTCTTTTGGGTCAAGAAATACACACTTAAAATCACGTACGTGTTTTATTAAACACATTTTCCTCTAGCCTGAAAGTTTATATAGCCCTAAAAGGTCTTACTGAAACATCAACCTGCGAATTAAAATAAAACTTTATTTTGTTTAGATTTTCTTATGTTTTAAGTAAAGCATCTTTTGCCCATACATGTTTCTTATATAATTTCTACACAACACTCACTCCAGGCCCCGCGCCAGGATGTCATAACTGAGGGGGCGTTTTAATCCCATAGGGGGGCACTAGACCTGGTGAAAGATTTTGGTCCCTCTTGTTTCTTTAATTTTTTTAGGCCATTTATTCACATTTATTATTACTTTGCATTACTGCCTGAGTTACTGACTTAAAGCAATTAAATAATGATATACTTTTTATAGTAATAATATGCACCGTTTCGCTATTATTGATTTTGTTATTGAAGGTTATGCAACAAAACATTTTATTAACGCAGACATGGCTTCAGCACCAAACAAGAGCTTAAATCATATTTTATTCTCCTTATTACTTTCTGTTTTATTTCAAATAATAGGCCTATGTTTAAAGTATTAGGTAAAGACGTAAAACTATGCCCACACATGCAAGTTAACCCACGGTCAGACTATTTGTATAACAGGTAAATAAATATAGTGAAATCAGCATAACTGAGTCACCAAGCTTCATTACGCAAGCAACATCAGTGTTAGGAAAACGCTAACTGTTACAGTCTATTCATTCATTCATTTATTCATTTTCTGCAGCTTTGCCGGAGCCGGGTCGCGGAAGCAGCAGTCTTAGGAGAAAACCCCTGACTTCCTTCTCCCAAGACACTTCCTCCCGCTCCTCAGGGGGAATCCCGAGGCGTTCCCAGGCCAGCCGAGAGACATAGTCACTCCAGCGTGTCCTGGGTCTTCCCCGAGGCCTCCTCCCGGTGGGACATGCCAGGAACACCTCCCTAGGTAGGCGTCCAGGAGGCATCCGAAACAGATGCCCGAGCCACTTCAGCTGACTTCTCTCGATGTGGAGGAGCAGCGGCTCTACTCCAAGCTCCTCCCGGGTGTCAGAGCTCCTCACCCTTCGAAGAAAACTCATTTCGGCCGATTGTATCCAAGATCTTGTCCTTTCGGTCATAACCCAAAGCTCATAACCATAGGTGAGAGTAGGAATGTAGATTGACCGGTAAATTGAGAGCTTTGCCTTTTGGCTCAGCTCCTTCTTCACCACAACGAAGCGGTACATCGACCGCATTACTGCTGCCGCTGCACCAATCCACCTGTCAATCTCATGCTTCATCCTTCCCTCACTCGTGAACAACTTCCCAAGATACTTAAACTCCTCCACCAGGGGTAAGGACTATCCTCCAACCAGGAGATAACAAAATTCACAGCTATTACTGTGAAAATGTGTTAGTTTTTTGGATAACATGCAACTCAATAGGCTATATAACTTTTTCATCATTTTAAAGGTAAAAATATTTATCTTAGGCTATCATAACTGAGTTTTTTTTCCGTGATATTGCCTGGTTGGCATTTGAAAAATTGACATCATTAATCGTTGGGTTACTAGGCCTACCTGTCATTTTATTTATTAAGCCTATTTTAGTAACTTGTTTTCAAGTTATTTTCCTTTTGTAGGGCCTAACTTGACTGCTGCTGCTTAATGGGATGTTTCTTTACTAAGCTGTAAAAGTGTGCGTTAGCTTGTCCAAATGAAAGTAAACATTCAAAAGGGTTCTGCGTTTTGTCCATTATAAAAATAATGAATATACTATTCATAAATAGCATATAGTACATATTTCAAAACTAGTGACAATAACTCATCAAAAGGACTTTAAGAATCCTTTGTTGGCTGAATTTCAGTGTGACTTCAACTAATCAGTTTTGGCCAATGCTAACAATTATTTTGAATGAGTCCAACATTTAGCTGTGCAAGAAAACATACAAAGGTTTCTACAGGTTTCAAGTCAAATTTAAGACTTAAAACCATTTAGGACCATAATCAGTGGCGTAGCAGACGGGCCCCCCCGCGCGACCTAAAAAGTGGACCATATTAAAATGTATTTGAATAATACTTTGGGTATTGTTGTTTCCATGAATTTACAAATGACAGATTCCTATTTTTTCTAAGGATATATGATGTAATAAATAAAAAAGTATTTTTTCATATTTCTTTGTTCAATTTTTTTAGGAAATATTTTTGGAACATCAAAAAGTGTAGTTATGATGATTATCCAACAAGCAAATCCAGATAAAAATAGTGCTTAAAATGTCACCGAAAAACAGAATTTAAATCTCATAATTAAAATAGAAAATGAGGCATATAGCTGCAAAAAGGTCCCCTTTTTAAGGAAAAAAACACCTCTTTCACCAGGCCGGCTACGTCATCATGATTGTATATCATCAAAACTGGAGTTTATGAACAACAGTAGAACTTGTTATTTTCATGTATTAATTTTAACTAAGTTCATGAAGGCTAAATAGTTTGATTGTTTCATATACAGTTGAAATCAGAAATATGAGCCCACCTTTGAATTAATTTTCTAAATATTTCCCAAAATAGAGCAATGAAATTTTCACAGTATGTCTGATAATATTTTTTCTTCTGAAGAAAGTCTTTTTTGTTTTATTTCAGCTAGAATAAAAGCAGTTTTAATTTTTTTAAACTATTCTAAGGTCAAAATGATTAGCCCCTTTAAGCTATATATATTTTCGATAGTCTACAGAACAAACCATCATTACACAATAACTTGCCTAATTACCCTAACCTGCCAAGGTAACATAGTTAAGCCTTTAAATGTCACTTTAAGCTGTATAAGTGTCTTAGAAAAATATTTAGTCAAATAGTATTTACTGTCATCAGGACAAAGATAAAAGAAATCAGTTATTAGAAATGAGTTATTAAAACTATTGTGTTTGGAAATGTGTTGAAATAAACAGGGGGTCTAATAATTCAAAAAAAAATTCCTAACCTATTCAGCTTTGTTCGTTTATGTTAAAATATAAATACATAATTGGATTGTTTTTAGAAAAATATCTCGTTTGTCATTATGGTTGATGATTTGGGTCACGTGATTCACATTTCTAACTTCTAATGTGATTTTCAAGTACATTTTCAGGGCGCGAACGTTTAAGTGCACTGAAAAAAATATGGGATTGAGACAGTGCTAAAAAAAATTCTGCCGCTCTGATCAGTGCACTGACTACTAATTAAGACGCACCATATGGCTTCATAAACGCCAATCAAGCTGTAGACACGTGCAGGACATTTGTAGCTGATTCCAGAACTGGCTTTATAGACAAACGCGCACGACGACTGCAGGCAACTTAGCGTTCAAGGTGAGCAAATTAACAGCAAATGTGTAATGCTATTTTGGGTGAAACAACAGTAGTTGCAACACGCAAACACACAGTTTTATTTGTAAAACAACGTAAACGCATTCAGTAACCCCACGAATCAATTTTCCATTAGAAAAAAAAATCTTGGTTCCACTGGGGCTCGAACCCAGGACCTTCTGCGTGTAAAGCAGACGTGATAACCGCTACACTATGGAACCCGTGTACCAATACTGGCACCGCGTTACAGAAAAAGACACGGTCCATACTATTTGAACCTGCTCATTACCCACAAACACCAGCTAAATTAATATATAAACAAACCACGATTAGATAGAGCCACATTGGCTAATAGGCCGTCTGTTTTTGTTATTTTAGCCCACCTATGACATGCGGCCGACCGCTTTGCACGACGACCGAAAAAGATAATTCATATTAAAAAACAGCTTGAAATATTTATTTGCTGCATCAATCGGACTCATTCAGCACCCATCACGATGCACGCATTCGGTGTATGATTGCTATTCTAAGCGTGTACATATAATTAGCGTTAGGAGAAAAATGAGGCTGCAGTGTACGCTGCATTGACAGTCGCGGTCGCGCGCACAGACGCCTCTCTTTCGCTTGAGACAACATACCGAAGCATCCGCGCACTACATAATCGTGCAGTATATAAAACATGGCGGTTTATCAACATGCATCTGCTCGCTATATAGATGTCAAATTGTAGAGCATCTCTTCGAACGGTAAAAAGAGGAAAAACGGTCGTGCTTTAGGTTATTATACCAAGAGGGATTATATAACGTGGCTGATCTGTATGCAACAAAAGTCTGAGAATAAAACAAAATGCCAAGAGCAGGCAGCGGAGAAGACTAAATAAACTGACACGAAAAAACATCAGATGAAGATGGCATACAAGGTAGGCAGGCATGCATGTTCTATTTGTCTCATCCACGCAGCATCATTTCGCACTGCTTATCGTCAATATCAGTCAATTTGTATTTTTGATATACAATATCAGGCCACCTGTGTTGTTTAATAGTTTTGTGCATGGTGCATTAATAAAAAAAAAAACCTAAACATCTAATTTACCAACACGTATATGAATTCCGGTTTTTACATTAACTTCGCGTCATGCAAAACATATTGCAGGTGCATTAATCAGGCCTATGATCTATTTTTCTATGTAAATTTGATAAAGATAGCGAGGCAATGGCTTCTTTATAGCAACATTTTAGCACTATTTTAGTTGTTTTAATGTATTTATTCACTTGAAGATGGCACAAAACTACAGTACATGTAATATGCAATGTCACAGCTTACATCACTGTATAAAGAAAGGGTGATATCCAATGCTCACTCATTACACAAAATATATGACGTATCTGTTTATCTGCTTCTATAAATGATTAGTATGCAAGCTCACAGATACCTTTCCATTTGAAGCTAATAAAATAACTGCACTCTTTCTACCAGACATGTAGACTCAAACATGACTTCTGACTTTTTTTACCATCTATTTTTACTTTGATATACCTCAAATCAAAACCCCAAATCAACAGACTGCACTGTGCACATAGGTGTCCTTTTTGTTATTATTAAATTCACAGGTTTATTGTTTTCACACTTTCACATTTTGATTCCTTTAACAATAGCACTCCATATTTAACACTATCAGTTCTTTATCTGTCATTTGTGTTTCTAACAAAAGAAGTGCACAATGTTAAACTAGGTGAAACTCATTGCTGCGTTTGGATGTTGTTTTTCTGTTGATTTGAAGTGTGCAAAGTTTGTACTTTGGGTAAACACGTCTGCTAAGTGAACAAATGTAAAATTTTAATGTTCACAATATTTAGGTGCACAAGTGAGGACACCTCCCATCAAACAATTTTGTGTCTTATAGATGTCTAAAAACAGATGCCTTGGCTTAAACTCTGGACTGTCAGTTAAAATCTAATAGATGTCTAGGAATAGCCCAAAACTACAAGTCATCTAATAGATTAGACAAAATTTACTAAAATTTTAATATTAGTAATTTCCATCTATCTGATGTCTAGTTTTATTTAACCCTCTTTTCACACTGTTTTACAGCAAATGATTAGTACTACACTAAATAATTATATGAGAGCAAGAGTGTTGCATTCATATTTCCTGAGCTGAGCTCAAAGACCTACAACTTTTCTATGCACAAAAGGCTAGTTTTTCTCAAATATTGATCACACATTTGTCTAAGGCTGTTTCTCAATATGCGTCCTTGTCTGTACTTGCGTTCTTGTGTCCTCGTGAAATGTCATCCACTGTCGCCAAAGTAATGTTCCAATTCAAAGTTCACGTCTTGCCAGTAACAGATAAAATTCACTGTCCCTTTTGTCAAAGACGCATCAAGAGGTGACCAGTGAAAGCTAATGGTGGAGGAGAAAACCTGTTAGATTTTATAAAATGCTACTCTAGTGACCGCAAATCAGAAAAGCTTGGGACTGTATGAAAAACCCAAATAAAACAGAAAGTAGTGATTTCTACATTTACTTTGACATTTCACTGCAGACAATACAACAAACATAAATTAATGTGTTCCTCATGATTTTTTTTTCAAAATAAACACATCAGTGTTTCCCCTAGGTTTAAAGTTTTTTTTTGGAGGGGGTGACGGGGGATTGGGGGTGCGGCAAAGCTGTTCAGACTAACACTGACACAAGGAGTCATGGTGTTAATTTGTTTCTTTCAATAAGAGCAGCAAAAAACTGAACAATTATTTTAACTGTACAAGCTAAAAATATATATATATATATATATATATATATATATTTTTTTTTTTTATCCACAAAGTGCAGCTTTTGACACTGCAGTGTATCTTATTGGGCTTCTGGAAGAACACTACTAGTACATTGATGTTAGTGTACTTACTAAATATAGTATACTTTTATACCTGACCTTTACTTAAGTACACTTCTTTTTCCTGCTGGTGTATTTACTGACTTGCCAAGATCAGTCTTGTACAGCCAGGGGGAGTATTGCTGCTCTGACAGCCAAGGTGGGTCAAAGCTAGGGATGCTCCGAACATGATTTTTGCAGCTGATACAGAGTTCTGATTCCTTGTCATTGTGATCGGCTGATACTAAGTACCGATTCTAATGCTTAAAGCAATAAGCATTAAGCACAATTTTGGTTCTTGCATTTCATACTAGTTGGGACTGGAGCAATTTAGGTCCAGTAATCTGGTAAATTGGTTTAATAATGATGTTATTTGAAACGGGTGATGTCAATAGGTGATTTATAATTATAAGAATCATCATTCACCTATAAGCGAGATCACTACATTAGGCTCAGGACTACTTTGGAAAACCTTTGTCAAGTACCACAAATACATAGTTATATCCAAAAATACCAGATAAACTGTACTGTGCCAAAAGGAAGCCTTATGTTAACAGTGTCCAGAAGCACCGCTGACTTTTCTGGGCTTGGAGGCATCTAGGATGGATCATCACACAGTAGAAAATGTGTACTGTGGTCAGATGAATCAGTGTTTTTTTAGGTTGTGTCATGTGCCCTGGACCAAAGAAGAAAAGGATCATCCAGACCGTTACCAGCAACAAGTCCAAAAGCCAGGGTATGTCATGGTGTAGTGTGGTGTCAGTGCCCTTGGCAAATGTAAATTGCACTTATGTGATATCACCAATAATGCAGAAAAGTATACAGTGAGATTTTGGAGCACACTATGCTGCCTTCTTTTCCAGGGACACCCATGCATATTTCAACAAGACAATACAAAACCAAATTCTGCACACATTACAAAGTCCTGACTGCGGAGGAAGAGGATACAGGTAGTTTACTGGCTTGTCTGCAGTCCCGACCTATCTCCAACAGAGAAAGTGTGTAAAATTTCACCTGAAACTGCTGTAAATGCTTTACTATTACAACTTTTTTGAAATGTGTTGCAAGAACCAAAATTGGAATGTGTTTAAAAAAATTTAAATCATGAGGAACACATTTAATATTTGTTGTACTGTCTGCTATGAAATTCAAGTCAAAGTAAATTTAGAAGATTTCTTTTTTTTATTGCACTTTACATACGGTTTCAACTCTGATTTGTGGTTGCAATTAATTTATTCATTTTCTTTTCGGCTTATTCCCTTTATTAATCTGGGGTCCCCACAGCGGAATAAAACGCCAACTTATCCAGCATGTTTATATGCAGCGGATGCCCTTCCATTTCTTACCCATTTCTGGGAAACATCCATCCACACACACTCATTTACACATAATTTAGCCTACCCAATTCACCTGTACCGCATGTCTTTGGACTGTGGGGGAAACCAGAGCACCTGGAAGAAAACCGACGCGAACACAGGGAGAACATTCAAACTCCACACAGAGATGCCAACTGACACGAGGCTCGAACCAACAACCCAGCGACCTTCTTGCTGTGTGGCGACAGCACTACCTGGATAAACCGCCAACTCATCCAGCATGTTTTTACGCAGCGGATGCCCATCCAGCTGCAACCCACCTCTGGGAAAGTGTGTCCTGTAATTAATTCATTTTATTGTTAATGTACAGCGAATCTGCAAGTATGCTACACGTCCTCGGGAGTTTGTTCCTTTGAGTCTGAGCTAGGCAAGTCTGAACTTCCAAGGATCTCACACTGTGAGATTTTTTTTTAATAATCCTAAACGATTGTAGCATGTTAGACTGCACTAACATGACTCTCATGTCACACTATAAGATCTCAGCTGTCATAATGTCAGACTGAACGACAATGAAGACGCGTCAAACATTGAAAAGAACACCCCTGGAGTTTGATGTCATCCACCCGTGACACTTTCACTGAAATGATTCCTCACAGCAAACATAATCTGTAGCAGCAATTTTGCACACAGTGTGTCTCAACAATAAAAGCAGGAAGAAAAAAACTGTTTTGACATTTCCCCGCGATCATTTGAATTGTCGCATGGATTGCGTCATCAAATTTGTCGCTCCTATTGGCTCTTGAATTGACACTCATTGCAGCTGTTGTCACACTGCAGGAAAGTGTCTGAAATCTTCTGACACTGCCAGAACTTCATCGAAGGAAAAATCTGATCGCAGTCAGAAAAAACGGTCACTAGGCGACTTTCTGTGAACATATCAAAGCAACGATCAAAGATCACAGATTTTAGACTAGGATTTCAGGAACCTTTTAGATTTTCCCAAATTTGTCACAGATGACAAAAATCATGGCTGAAATCTTAGTATGAGCAGGGCTTAAGCCTGTAAGTGAGTTCTTCTATGCCGAGACAATCAATCCACCTCAGAGGTGTGGCTTATCAAGGTGCTAATTAGACAGCAAGATGCTGCGGTCACACTAGAGTTGGGTTTAGCGTATAAAATTCTGTTGTACGTTGCTGTAAAAAGGGGCAAGACTAAAAAAGATTAGACAATTTGAAAAGCAAGCCATATTTTACATTTCTGTCCAGAAAGGTCCTGTTTTGATCATCGGTTGGTCTCACACAGTCACATGATGCAATTTCGTAGGTCACAGTTCACCAAGCTTGAACTTTGTAACGCAGCGAACTGCAAAACTTGACACACGAGCTTGTGTTTTTGCGTGCAAATAATCTAAAACGTGCAGTTTTAACTTACTGGGGGACAATGACAAACTGCAGGATGACGAGCATTCTGACAGTTTGTGCAGAAATTATTTGGTAATGCAAACCAATTGTTGCAGCAGTTGTCTGGGGCTGGTTTTACATAATGTTGAAGATGCTGGATGTGGAGTTCCTGGGCTGGTGTGGTTACACATTGTCTGCGATTTGTGAGGCAGGTTAGATATACTGGCAATCTTTCAGCAAAACCATTGGAGACAGCTTATGGTAGAGAAATGAACATTCAATCCACAGACAACAGCTTTGGTGGAGATTCCTGCAGTCAGCATGCCAATTGCATGCTCCATAAAATCTTGTGGCATTGTGCTGTGTGACAAAACTGCCCATTTCAGAGTGGCATCTTATTGCGGTTAGCCTTAGGTACACCTCTGCAGTAATTATGCAGTCTAATCAGTATTTTGATATCCAACACCTGTGAGATGGATGGATTATCCCAGCAAAGGAAAAGTGACATAGATTTAGGCAAATGTGTGCATAATATTTGAGAGAGAAGGATTTTGTGTAAACAAAGTTTTAGATCTTTTGAGTTCAGCTCATGAAAACGGGAGCAAAATCAAAACATTGTATTTAAAATTTTGTTGAGTGTAGACAATGAATGTATGTAATCCAACAGTTGTTGAAGAGCATTACTTGATGTCTAAAGTTAAAACATTAAAAAAATTTAAAACATTTGTTATGTAAAAACGTTTAAAATGAAAATATATTTATTTCAAATTTGAAAATTAAGTAATGTGCGACTCGCACTGCAACTCACAATTATTATGACAAATGGATTGTTCTGAATGCAGCTGTTGTTCTGATTCAGAATATCTCTGTTGCCAAAGCTGTTGTAAGGTGCATTTATGAATTAGATTCAATAAATATTTGTGCTATTATAAGTATATATAAAAATAAGTATCTATATATAAGTGCACACTTATTAATTGAGTACATAAAAATAAAGTAGGTGTGTATCGTACTTCAGCTCATTTACTGAAAACAGGCTAAAAATTTTCATTCATTCATTTGACTTAGTCTCTTATTTATCAGGTGTCTCCACAACAGATTGAACCGCCAACTTACCCAGTGTATGTTTTACACAGCGGATGCCCTTCCAGCTGCAACCCAGTAGTGGGAAACACCCTTACACACTCACAGTCACACAAACAAACTCATACACTGCGGCCAATTTAGTTAATCCAATTCTTCTATACTGCATGTCTTGTACTGTGGGGGAAACCGGAGCACCCAGAGGAAACTTACAAACTCCACACAGAAATGCCAACTAGCCTAGCCTGGACTTAAACCAGCAACCTTATTGCTGTTAGCCAATTAATCACTAAGCCACCAAGCCACACGGGTTCAAAGTTTTACTAGATGGATAAATCATCAAGATTTTATTAGGCTATACTGTATGTGCTTTTACACAACTATTTGTGTACTCTATCCACTATTTTTAGTTTTTAAGGTGCTAAATTTAGTTTCGCTAAACTTGCCTCAAAATTTGACAAAATTCACAGTGAACTGTTTTGAATTGAACTAAAACTAAACTGGTTTGATCTGAACAATGACACTGTAGTCTTTTAGAGCTGCTTTACAGCAGAATTTATTTACAATTTTTGAATAAAGGTCCTCTGCATTGCCTTAGAGTGTACAGCTTTATTCGATGTGATAAGATAACAAAGACATGAAACCAGAGCAGGATATATCAAGTTTCCCCATCACTTTTTAAAATGGCCAGTAGCGTTTTGTCAAAAATTTGCTTGCTACAATTGTTATTGTTTACATGTGAATAAGTGACCAATTTTAGTCACGTTGTGTGGGGGAGAGACAGCATTTGCTTAGTCAGAACATCTCATGAGACGTTGAAATATGAGGCAAGATCATAATCTATCACTGTTTCATATTAGTGGAAATAAGAAACTGTAGGTTTTAAATGCTTATATTCAAATGTGAATTTTGAACAATTGTTGGAGAACACTAGCTAACCTTAAGACTAAGACTAACGTATTGGTATTAATCAGTTAAGATTGTATTGATAATATTGATATTCAGGGGACATTAAAAATTAACTCAGCATGATTTAATCAGCATGCTTTATCTTAGAAGATAACTGCTATGTTCAAAATGTGTTTGTGTGCAAAGTTATCACTGACATGTCAGAAGACCACAGATATTTTACATGGGACACTGTAAACAGAGGCAAAGCATGGCAGATAATCACTCGCATCTAAAAAGGTCAACAACAGTATAGATTCAGTCACATGGGACAGTAAGAGCAATACTGTATTGGCAGCAAATTGTTCTAGTTTAAAACCTCATGGCCATGTCATGCCTTCATCACACCCTAGCAAACAATTTTGTGTTTAATAGACAACTAATGGACATCTAAACATAGACCGCTTGGCTAAAACAAGGCTAAACTTGGGCTGTCAGTGAAAATCTAATAGTCATCTAAGAATAGGCCAAAACTATAGACATACTTTATATGTGAAATCATTAATTTCTGTTTATTTGATGACTAGTTTTGGCCTATTCTTAGACATCTATTAGATTTGCACTGAAAGCCCAAATTTCGCCTTGTTTTAGCCAAGACGACTATGTTTAGATGTCTATTAGACATCTTTTAAAAACAAAAATGCTTACTGGGGACCATTTAAAAATGCATATAATTAAAAGTAAAGTAGCTAAAGCACACATGGTCTGGTACGTTAACTTGCAAACAAACTGTGCTGGTCCCACACTTTAATGGGCCCACTAAGTGCTAGCCTAATGGCCTTCAGTGAGCTGAAAGTTTGAAAGAGTTTGAAAGTTTGCAAATGATTGGCCTCTAAGTGATTGCCCTGCATGAGTAGCCCTCACCTAGACTCCAGGAAGCCCCCTGGTGGTGTTAAGTCAGTTTGCAAGTTAGCCCAGGTACACAATTGTATAGCAAACCGTGTCAAAAAATGCCATGGATCTGCAAGTTTTGAAAGGCATGTTTTAGCTTGTCCTCTGTCAATTTATGTGGATATACATTCGTATTTTCTCATGCAACTGTTTATACACAGAATCAAGGTTTATTGGATTGGTTTGTCTGCATGTTTGTTCTCCTGCTTTATTGAGGGTTTTATGCATGCTTTATGTTTATTAATGGCAGTAGTGGCAGCACTGTAGCAAATCTATGCCGCTCAGACCAAATACATAAACGTATACAGTACATATTCATTAATACACTAAATCTTTAAGATGCTAGTCATGAAAGAAATAATTGTTGTGATCCCTTCATTATTCATTTACTCTTAGTTTTTGTAATTGTAGAATTTTAAATGGCCATTCATAGGCCAACCCCAATGAAAATATTACAGTTGATTAAACTAATTTCCCAGCTCTCTTTAAGGCCTCGGTAGCTTGTCCTCCATATAGCTGAACTGTATCACTAAACTATGCTAGCAGAAATGTAGGTCAACTAAAGCAACTAATAACAGCATGTTACATATTAAAAAAATAATAATTAACTGAAAGCAGTTAATCATCACATAAAATTAAATCAATAAAAGCCTATTTATTTGTTGAATCTGCTGTAATCTGATCAATGCTATTTAATTGATGGGGGAAAGGTTGATCTTTCCTGTTCCTACCACTCAGGTTACAATGACTTCAAATATATTATGCGACTGTTTTAAAGTATTTGCTCTATTTTTAATACTAACTAAACCCATGCAAATGTTTCTATGAAGCTACCAACACATTTTTGTCTCTCTACTCCTTAATTTGCTAATATTGTCTGTTTCATTATCTAGATCCCAGGGGCTGCTATGGATCGTGTTAGCCTACTTTGGCGATTGAGGCGTCGGGCTCGTCGAGGGGCCCTATGCATGGCACTCTTCTGTTTGACTATGGCTCTCCTGTACACTCTTTGTGCTGAAAACAGCATTCCTGTCACAGATGCCATTTTCGGAGTCAAGGCCAGAACTCGAGCTCAACCAAGAGCACACACAATTGTTAAGGTACGTCAAACTGACTCATTCTCGAATACTTTAACATACTTTATTGGATTTGCAAAACTGATGTTTTTGTTTTGTTCATGCAGTCCCTGTATCCCAAAGTCAGTGTGTTTGATTTAGTTTTTGATTAATTGACTGAAAGAGAAAAGCTTTTTTCCTTTTGCATTTTCAAAATGGAAAAAGGGTTTTCAGATGACAACATTGTCAAAGCCACTGCTCTCAAAAATAAACACTGTATTATGTGTGTCAGAAGGTGTTTATGTCACTTTGTAAAGAAATATTAAGAGGTCTATTTTAACAAACTAGGCGCAAAGTCTAAAGCATATGGCACAAAAGCATTAAATGCATGTCCAAATCCACTTGTACTATTTTAAGGACTGAAAAATACACTCTGCGCCCTGTTAGGGTTGTGCTTATTCTCTAATTAAGCTATAGGTGTTTTTTGAGCATAATGTGCCTTTAACCAATCAAAGACTCATCTCTCATTCATTCCCTTTAAAGGTGCAGTAGGTGACTGTCTTCCGAAACATTTTTGTTGTGCTGGTTGAAAGTCTCATCTCAGTCCAATAGTAATGATTAAAGTAAATTATCTAAATGTATTTATATGTATTTTTATATTCTGGGTAAGGCATAAAACTAAAAAATGTTCATCTAATTAAATATTGTTGGGCCGACATCTCTCATTAGGGTTGTGACGATGAGGAAATTTCCCCACCGGTTAATCGACATGTGACAACACCGGTACCACCGTGTGACAATACCGGTATCACCGTGGGAGTGGGCGTTTCTTCTTTTCCTCTTTTTTTTCTGCTTTTAAATAGCTTATAAATGCGTGCATATACTTTCACTTTCAGTTTTGCGGGAGTTGCCAATTCGGCGTCAATTGTTTGAATGAACGAAAACTACAAAAAAATAAATAAAAAAATCACTGTTATTACACAAAACATAACTTTTTATTAACATAACGAATAAAACACAACAATGGTACAGGCTGAAAAAACTGTGGAAGTTGAAGCCATACAAATAACAACCATAAACGCCTATATTATATATTAACAGCTTAGTCCTTATGAACAATGCGTTTATAAAATATATTATTAACGAATCTATAGGCTATTGAAGAATAAACCGAATGTGAAATATGATCCTTGCATAATGATCACAACTAAACAAGTTGGCACTCATTTTATATATAAACTATAAATAAAAAATAATAATGAAAATGTTAAGAAATGTAACATTATTTTAAAAAATGTAAAGACTTCAGGCTGAATAAAACTACCTTATCAGAGCTAAACATCACTGAACATCACTGTAAAGTTCAGACATCATATACAGATCACACAATCTCAATAAAAAACATGTAAATGTATAAATATTTAGAAAGTATTGTTATGGAATATTTATAACTATATGATCTTGCTTTTTGGTGATACCAGCTTTGATTTCTCTTAAAAGCGGCAGTTACAGGCGCTGCATAAGCACGTGCACTGTCAGTGGCGGAATACACACAGCACTGGCAAGACGTTTTATTTTTAGTTTTATTTGTTGCAGATTTGCGCGTTGTTCCTTTTTAAAAAATGCCTTTTATTTTTAAAATCTCTCAAGTTAATGTTGTCTATCGAGTAACATAATCTCCCTCGAATTGGAGTTCGTGAGCAGTAAATTGGACCAACACTGCCCTAAGTTAACACACTGGTCCACAGTTCTGGTGTGTTATGAATTACATGTTTTAAATGACAGCGAGACATGCTACGTTTAGTTTTTATTGTAAAAATATAGATTATGACCCAGTACACAGTAAAATAATATTTTTTAAATGGTTTGCCTATTGACGACGTATAGGCTAACCGTTAAACTTAAGGCAGCATATTTTTACTAATATTAAAACACATTACAACAAACTAGCCACCCTTTGATTTTTTTTTTTTTTTTGTTTACGTATATTTTTATCAAACGAAAAATGCAATGAATAGTTTTATTTTGGTTTTCATTTTATTAGAAATAATATAATTTAAAGGCTACACAACTCCTCCACGGCTCCAATTGCGTTTTGACAGATATCCTAGATAGACTTTCTGGCTCAAAGACATTTATGCCTGTTTATTTCAGTGCTGTATTCTGACAGATTTCGCAAAAGCTTCAGCTATTCTACTTGTTAGCTGGTACCAGCCTCAGTTTTGCGACTTGACTCGTAGGCGTCTGTGTCTGGATGACAGCGAGAGAGAGATGAGATCAGACCTCAGATTCGATGTGTGTTCGCACGTCACAGTTACTTTATTGCAATTTTTAATATTGACTCATCTAAATTAACTTTTCATTTATTAAAAGCTGAAATATTGCCAGACAGACGAAGCAACTTTCGGTTTTTGAAGAGAGCAGCCTCAGTGATAAAAGACGCGCGCACACACACAGGTTAGCCCACACTCTTGTCGGCCTATTCTTTATTGATTTTTTTTTACAATAAACGCATAATAATCAATTACAAAAAAGAACAGCTGAACTTCGGAAAAAGTGCTCACGACTGTTGCCGCAATAGTTGCTTTGTTTCTCTGCAGTTGGCTTATTAATGGCGCGGCATTGCTAAATCACTCTTGTTTTAATAAATTAAAAAAAGATAATTTATTATTAAACTGTGAGATGATGGTAGCGTGATTTTTAAAATGAGAGTATGCGTTGCGTATTTATGGTTATTGATCTTATCTACCCGCGACCCACACATAGTTGAACATCAAGTGTTGAAAATGAGTGTATAAATTAGTTGTGTTTCCTCCAACTGCTGCCACCTTTGTCAGGCAAAGTTTGCAGATTGCCTCATTAACGTCTTCAAGTTCTCTTTTTGCATTTGGTTTGAACCAAAAATATACAGGCCCTTTTGCATTGCGTTTTGACACTTATCCGTCCTCCATTCTCTTTCTGTAAATTCGACTCCTCTCGTTCTCTTGATGTGATAAATGAAATATGACGCATTGTAGCTATGTTCAGATGATAATTATAGTGCATGCTCTCGTCTTAAGTAAATTATTTAGAATTATGTTTCCCATTTAATTCAAAAAAATATTTAAATAAAAAAAAACCGAATACTTAAAAAAAAAAAAAAATGTGGGGACGGTGTCACGGTGAAAAAGTGATGTCACCGGTGTTGCGTCTTGAAACCGTTATCACCGTCAACACAGTCTACTATGGCAAGCCTATCTCCCATAATTCCGATAAGTAGCTCAAACTGTCTGTCATCAAATGTAGATTTGGACTTCTGAGCATCTGTTCACGCAGATCCGCCATTTGCGCTGCCTGCATGAGCGCCGCGTGTTCACGAGACAATCACAGACACGGTGAAATCAAATGCTGAATTGAAACTTTTGAAAATCCTAAATCCATATTTGAGTTACTTTTGCACGCTGGAGAAAAGACGACACCATGGCTGAAGTATTACTGTTAGACAGGTAATGTTCTGTTTTCAAACTATTTTAGTCAGGCTAAGTTTATGTTGGATTGTGTTGTGTTATGAATGGGTTATATGCACTGAAGTGTTGTTCAGCCCTTGAAATCTCTGGGTGAAAGATTGATGTGACTATTTTCAGTTTCATAAGGTCTTTGACAGCATTGATAATGTAGATTTTTATTTAGTTTAACAACAAAACATCAGTAAATAGCGATGTTCCGCCTAACTTGCCTTATTGAGCTGAAGTTGTTTTTATATTCATATTTGTTCATTTTTAACAATGACAGCATCTATACTGTTTACTATGCTACTCTAAATATTCACTCTGAAATAGTATGTAATGAATATAATTCCTGCACGCCACCGCCAAACAGTAACTAACTGGCGAATGACATGAACTTGTAGGGCTGCACGATTAATCGAAAAAGGATCACGATCATGATTTGATGTGCGCACATTATTTAAATGATCATAACGCATTTTACAATTATGATTACGACAATCATTTGAAATGTTTTTTTTTCTTTCATAGCTAACACAGTATTGTGCATGAAAATAAATGTTTTACATCATCAATATACCTACTCTAGCTTATTTAATGTTGAATATAATGCAAAAATGTCTGTGAAAACAAATGGTATAATAATGCTGACAATGACAAATGACAAGCACATGTCTTAAACATAATAATTCAACTTTATAGTTATGAATAGTTATATTCTGATGTCATCATTTTACTGTGAATTAACAAACAGGACATATTGAAAGTCTGTTCAAGTCCACCATAATGACTGTACAAAATTTAGCATTTTAAGCAAGAGTAGAGCTACACATAGACCTAATATTATTAGTGTTGTTTTACCATATCATCACTTTAGAATTATAAGGTTCTATCTGAATTTTTTTTTTTAATTTAGTTATTGACATATTCTTAATAAATGACAACTTATTGTTTACATTTTAAGACTTTTTGTTTGAGAATTAACAATAATAATAGCCTACTCATATTAACCTTCATTTTACATCTAAAGAATCGTGAGAAAGAATCGTGATTTTATATTTTAAGCAAAAAAAATCGTGATTTACATTTTAGCCAGAATCGTGCAGCCCTATGAACTAGTGGGTTGTCTGCTATTGTGACGCAGTGCACGCGTTTGCAATTTCAGGAGGCGTGGCTTTGAATCATAGTCCCTCCCCGCCGTCCAAAGATAATATGCTAAGCGGATAGCATTTTAGCAAATCACCTACTGCAACTTTAAGAGTATGCTGTGTCACGTCATGGCGCATTTTGCTATTTACATAGCGGACTTTGTAAGTGGATAAAAATGAATGTTTAACTAGTGAGAAAACAGGTAAACAGACCATCTGCAGCACATGGATAAAAAATGAGCCTTCTACATTCGGTCTCTTTACTTTTACTCTTTTCTTTACACTTTTACTTTCATGGGGTAAGGAAACGGTGTTGTCCACTGCACTGAAAACTTTAATTAGCCTACATACTTATTTTCAATTGTTAAGCACAAAAATTTGTTTCAAAACTATTACTAAATTCATTTCTAACTTCCTAGCATTTTTTTTCTTGTCTAGCATTTTAGACCTGCATAGGCGCATAACTAAAGTGCTCTGCACTGGACTTTAGTCCAGCTTTCAGTTTGTCAGTGTTGCAGTCCATTTTAGTTCCTCAAAATAGCAGCACGCCAACAATGTGACTTAACACATCTCCTTTTTAAACCAGCACACCCATGAGCAAATGGATTGGCTATTTAAAACACATTTTGCGCCTTATTGTGTCGCGTGTATTATAAGGTCCTTTGTCTGTGCTAGAGGTCTGTACAAAATTCGTACCCAACTAAAATCCACCTGAATCAATTCTAACCCGAACCTGACATGCATTAATAAAAAAAAAAATCAACCCAAGACCGACAACAGCATTTATTTTCACACCCATTAGGACCAGAATATAAATTACTTTTATGTGTGCACAGCCTGCAGCCCCATAATAAGAAAAGGAAACATTCACTTCCTCTAATTTATTTATTGATATATTATTCGCTGACCAAAGACACAAGTGCACTAATACCAATCCTGACATGTGTCCAAGGCACACGTTGATGTTTTGGATGTGAGCCCACTCAGGTAAAGGCTTGGGTTTTTAATAAAAGTAGACACCTGAAGACTGAAGACCTCTACTTCATGCACATACAGTCTACACACTATAATATAGGTGTTAAAATTAAATGTTTCTTCGGTGCACTGCAATGCAGATAAGGACGATTCGGTATCGGTTCAGTAATAATCATAACCGGTTATTACATACTGACATCATTTATCTCATATGCGAGCGGGTGTCACAGTTTTCTCCACCGCATCTATCATGGATCAGCTGTGAACGCTGCTGCCGTTCATCTGTGTGTAAACCAGGCTTTACTTTATCATCTGTGAAGAGCGCCAGCCCGTAGAGCCAATCGCAGCCCTTTCAGTTGAGTGCGTGACCAATCAAAGGGGTGTAAGAAAGGACTTTCTAGACAAGGATCAGACAGCGAGCGTGATATTTGTTTATTTGCTATAAATGCTTGTGTTGTTCATAAGCAAAGTTTATATATCTGTTTGTATTACAAAATTGTATTATAAATAGTATATAAATATATATTTATACATTTTAATACAAAAATTGCTGTGCTGTGAAGAAAATATAAAACCGTGTATGGAAAGCATCGACGATGCACCGAGATCTCAAATTGAACAGAATCGATGGCATGATAATCGTAACCGAACCAAACCGTAAGACCAGTCTAGGTACACAGCTCTACTATATTATGTTGAGTTACTTTGCAAAAGTTACCTTAATGATTAGAACGTGTAAGAGTCATGAACCTAATTGATAACAGCTTATATTCAGCAACAATCTAAAAGCCAATGGTAAAATCCTCACAGAATTCTGTCATTAAAAGGCACATAGTTTACCCCTTTTTTATGATTTATTTTAATATTATGGTTCTTCTGAGTGTGCCAGTTTAGGTTCAGTTCAACACACAATTCAGATGTTTTTATTATAATGTGTTAAGTGTCATGTTGGGGGCGTTTATACAGTTTGCCGTTTTAGGGGAGTGTTGCTTCACAGTTTCGGCTTCCCGCCCAACGTATCAAGGGGGCGGAGCCAAGAGCTCCCACGCTCTGTGTTTGCAACAGACAGGCTGACAGACAGAGAGAGAGAAGCTAAGCTAGAATGAAACCCATGCCAAGAACTCCGAAATGCACGACGCCGTGCCACGCAAAAGGTACAAGCAATAATTCCGATTACAGCGATAATCTGGAGAATATTGGTCTTTGGTCCCAATGAGCTTTTCATCAAAAAATAGAGCATGGGTGTTCCTTTAGTGATATCGCTTTGACTCACATGCTGAAAATGGCGGACGTGCAACAAGAAACTGAGGATATGATCGTGACGTAAGGCGGTCAATCAATATTGGTGGGCGGAGGGACCACTCTCCTACGTAAAGTTGAAGTCGGTTTGAAAACCGCTCCAATTGTTCCACCGTTTTTATGTTGTTAAATTGAAAAAAAAAAAAGGACTGTGTGTGTTTATATCACCCCAATATGACGGTCTATACACTATACTTACACATGTCTATCCAAACAGCTTGAAAAGTAGATTTTTCACCATAGGTGCCCTTTAAAATCAAAGTGACGCTAACTTCTGGGTTAACCTACAAAATTATATCATCTCTGCAACACTTTCCAAGTCAAAAATAAAATCTTGCTAAATGTGACATTAATCTCTTGAAGGTATTGCGGGGAACAGGAGGGTCAAAGCCCATGTATACTGACCCTCAAAAGCTCCCAGGTGTCATTCCTGGAGATCCTCAAAAGCCTATTCCCATCCTCTCATCATCTAACTTCTCAATGGAGAGCACTTCTAAAGACCACAGTCTCGGGGGCAAAAAGAGAGAGCGTGGGCTCTTTTACTGGCTTCTGGCACAACCACTGACTATTTTTGGAGGCAGACGGAGAGGAGATATGGGGACCGCAATTCGGGATGCTGATGTTTTTAAGCCTAATGGAGCACTCGGAGAGGTCTGGAATGAAGAGATGTCGAGCAGCATGCTGGGAAAAAGGCTGAGGAAAGTTGTGCAGAACTATCAGGTGAGCGCAAACTGATATTAAAGCCTCTACTGTATAAAAACACAGTTACTAACTGCCAGGACTGCAACTGCTGATCAGCAAGGCATGAAGTCTCTACAGTTAATCCATTTTACATAATCCTTCAAGGATGAAGCTCTACTGCATATAAAAATACAAAACACTGCCTCAGACTAGAGTTGCAAAATTCAAAAGAATCACAGGCCACGGTTCATGCCACATGTCATCTGCAGATTAACCGGTTTAATCCCACCGGTGACCGTGGCTTTTTTATTATTGGATGCTATAAAAGTGTTGTGGTTTGCTTTGAGCAAGAAATTGAAAAAATAAAAATAGATTGTGTTGGTTTAAATTAATCAGTGCCACATCCTAAAAAAAATTAACCTTCCTAGAAGTGAACTCTTGTCAGAATTTTACAATTTAGTTATTTAACGCTTTATGATTATGCAAAGTAATTGAATGTAGTCAATATTTAAGTTAAATGTTTGCATATGATTTTCGAAATTAGCAAGTTGTGGCTGAAATCGCAGTGATAGCCTTGCATTAGGGAGGTATAAGAAATTTGTACTCAAATTTCATGAAAAAAATAATAAATAAATGGATTGTGATTGTTTGATTATAATCAGCATTATGATTTTAAAACATCGGAAAAAAAGAAGCTAATATTAAGGCAACAACGCCAAAGCTCCAAAAGGATCGCAGTTTATTATAGGACTGCACGATTAATCGAAAAAACATTGTGATCTTGATTCGACCTCCTACTACACAATCTTAATCCAACATCTCTACGATTCAGCCAATTATATTTTTAAGGTCGGGAGAAAAGCATAAAAGCAGTTGCACATGTCTTTACATTGTTTTAAATACCATTTTGAGGGGTGTAAACAAAAACAATGGTCCTGTAAGAGTTGAAATATTGCAAATATTCTGATATCTTTGACAATTCAAAACATTAGCTGAAAACAGAGACTGGTAACTTCACAACCCAGCAAGGGGGAATGCGGGAAAAACCAGTTCCTGCTGCATTTGCATCTGAGTATGCTGAAACTCAGCTTCATCCCCCCAACTCACGCATATGGTCATTTAATGTTCTAGATTAACCAAACTGACTTTAACTATCATGTTTGATATCAATTGAAATGTCTCAGTGCGATTGGTACAATGGTCTCATTCTCTCAGAAATAGACATAATCAGAACAATAAATATATAACTTCAGGCATCTTTTGAACCACTGTGAGGGGTGTGACTTTTACACTAAGTGTGAATGCCTTTGTTATTCACACCCCCTTTCTTGAGGGAATTCTTGGATTATTTAAGGTAGGGTATGAGAAAGTCTCGGCGCGATTCTGCCTACCCAGATCAGCCCATAACATGGAGCCTAGGCTCCACGTTATGTAAAATTTAAACGTTATGTAAAAGGTCAGGTATGCATCTTTTCATCTTGGATTTATCTTTGATAATTTGATGTTTTGTATTGATCATTTATGAATTGACTGATTGAATTGGCATAATACATTTACCTGACTAATAAATTGTAATGTTTGACCATATTTTGCTCACTCTGTAATTATTAATTCAAGTAGATTACGCTGTATCCTTGTTTCCGCACGTCTTGCGTCAGGTCAGTAGACGGACTAAAATCCAATTGAGATGGAGCATTGGCACACTAATTGTGTTTTAGCGATCCGGCTGACTCTTGATATTGATTCACGTGTACTTAGGTGGAAAGGGCGATAACTTCCGTCTAGGTCAACAAGGTGTTGCACGACTAACCTAGATTGGGTACCCGACCTTTGTTTGAAGGTAATATTATTCTAAATTAAGTTCATATGGGAAACCATGGGCTTGGTGAAAACCAAAGTTACTATAGAGTCCAGTAGTCGGGTACATTTATATTAATGCCCTAACCTCTAATTAGAAATGATGATTGTCTTAACTCAAAGGTGTACATCTAAGCGGGACTAACTAAAGTATTTTAGAACGAGCGCGCTGGTAGCGGCCATCTAAAGTATTAGTCAATTTACCTCTGTTTAAAGGGTCACGAAACACCAAAACACATTTTTTGAGCTGTTGACAGTCGTATATGTGTCCCACACTGCTAAAAACACTATTAGGACACCTATATTTCACTAAAAAGTGTAAATTGGTTGTTTTTGCGTTATTTCAAGCAAATTTGTACTTCCTGTTTGAAACGAATTTTTGAAGCTGCGTCACGGTCATGACATAATAGCGTGTATTCCAGCGTGCAGACTGGGCGTCTGTGCCAGAGTGAGTCTTATTACGTCTTACAGTGTGATACATTAATGCATGAGTAAGGCTTGGTTCAAACCAATCAGCGCGCTCTATTGTGGAACTTCATTAATATTCATTAGTGTCACCGTGTTTACGCCACAAAGACGCCACGTTGTGTTGGCAAAACAAGCGTGAAGTGTTGCGTTTATAGTTTGCTGCCGTTAAGTTTCGTTTTCATTTTCTCTCTGTGAGAGCTTATCTGGATCATGTGTGGATTACAGTGTACGCGATGCTCGACAACAATAACTTACGTAACTCAGGTAAAAATTGTTTACCTGAGAGCTGTTCTCATCTGCAAACGCTGAAATCTGAATTCGCTTGTAGTATTCTCTCCATATAGACGCGGCTCTAGTTGCTGGTGATTGTCCTGTCTCTACAGATTTGGTAAGTGAGCGACCAGTGCTCTTTGTTTATTCAGTTTGTTCGTATCGAATTAAGTTACTATTGCACTGAGTGCAGAAATGTAAGCACCGCATTTTGTGACCGGAATAACACACGCGGCTTTCTGACGCTACCTGCCGTGTGCATCTAAGTTTCCGGGAAATGCGGAGTTTTTTACTCTCTCATTCGCCGTGCGGTATCAAACATTGCATGAAAAATACACGCTTGCAGCAGTTCCTTGAATCAAATATTTCGTTTGTCGCGGGAGGCATGAATGAATTCCCTGAATGAAAGAGCCAAACTGCAGTTAAAGTCCAACTTTTAATAATTTGGCAAATAATTCGACTACAGATGTCCATGTAAACACAGTCACATTGTCCGCTGTGGGTGTGTATTTTGACTCTGAAACTCGCGCGTGCACAAATAGACACTCCCACACCATCCCACTTTAGTTTCTCCGACACTCCCCCCTAAACAGAGCTGGACACGCCCACTTTTCTGACTTTTTCCAAAGTGGAGGTGTGAAAACACCCTGCTGAAACGAGGGGGTTTCATGGCCCTTTAATATTCAAGACTGACCGGAGTGTGACCGTGAGGGACGCCTTCGGCCGAGGCGATTTCTCTGAGCGACATGAGCACCCGAATGAACGGATGTAATAGTTACTAGTGAAGACAAAAGGTTCAAACATTTATCTAAATTACATATTGATATAATCTTCTTAATGTTTTATAATTGGAGTCAGATAAAATGAGGATAAATATATTAATATTCTAAACCACCTCATATTAAAATTGGAGTCAGATATGAGTTAAGTTTAATATAGATCAACATTGTGCACTGGAAAGACCGAACATGCAGTGAACCTTCATCCACCAGTGGACACCGGCATTGGGCCAACTGGGTGGACCTTACAGTCCCAACGTATTTTCTGTTTTACATTTTGATTTCTAAAGCTTCCAAGAATCCAAAAAGAGTCACATATTGATAAATAATGTCATGATCGCTGTTTTAACATTAAGTTATGATTGAATTGCCTCTTGTTACAGCTATGAAATAATTTGATAAGTAGGAAATATTAATGGGCCAATGACATCACCACATTGATATGGTCTATATACATTGCTCAGCAACGTGGACACCTCCAAATGGTTTTGAAAGAGTCACATACTGTATTTATATTAGGGCTACTCGATTTTGGGAAAAATCATAATCACGATTATTTTGGTCATAATTGTACTCACGATTATTCAAAACGATTATCAGTTAAAATCAAAATTATTAGCGCTCCTGAGAATTTTTTTTAAATGAATATTTTCCAAATCATGTTTAACAGAGCAAGGAATTTTAACAGTATTTCCTATATTTTTTCTTCTGGAGAAAGGCTTTTTTTATTTCGGCTAGAATAAAAGTAGTTTTAAATATTTTGAAACCCATTTTAAGGTCAATATTATTAGCCCCCTTAAGCAATAAATATATTTAATTGTCTGCAGAAGAATCTACTGTTATACAATGACTTGCCTAATTACCCTAATTAAGTCTTTGAATCACACTTTGAATCTGAATGCTTGTATTTTGAAAAGAGTCTAATATTATGTGCTGTCATCATAGTAAAGATGAAAGAAATCAGTTATTAGAAATGAGTTATTAAAACTATTGTGTTCAGAAATAAGTTGAAAAAAATTTTCTTTCCATAAAACAGAAATTAGAGAGGAAAAAGGCTGCAAATATTCAGGAGGGCTAATAATTCTGACTTTAACTGCATTTAAACAGATGTTTTCCACCCTGCAAAGGAAAGAGAAATAAATACAATACAATAAAAATATGAAACAAACTGTGCTTTAAGCATCTTCACCGTAAGAAAAACTCATTAGCTTCAAATGTCCTTCTGTCAAAAGCACTGAGGGATTTTCTCGTTTTGTTGTTTGATTAATAATCACAAAAACAGGCGGCAGCAGGAACATCGCATGCTTTCACTTTAATGGTTTCTCTTTCACGTCTTTTGATTCTCAACTCGTATGTTTATTACACAAATGAGGGTTATTATGAATAATCACTAAACACCGCGTTTTGACACCTATTTGACCATTAAAGCGCTCACGTTAAGATGACTCTAGATGTGTGCACTGACTGTGCCCTGCTCGTCTCAGTGTGCGAATGAGATGGAATACTGACTGCATGCTTCTGTGTGTGCGCGCTGCACACACACACACACACACACACACACACACACACACACACACATATAAGCATGCGGTCTTTCGTGCTGCTAAGTAAATAATCATTTATCTCGATTAATGGTTTTTCATAATCGTGAGAAGCTAAAATCGAAATCGGATTTTCGATTAATTGCACAGCCCTAATTTATATTTTACCCAAAATTTAATTTCTCAATGTAATGATTGATATTCGTGGCTGCGAAATCAAATGTTAGCTGACCGTGAGCTGTGCGTTTACCAGAGACGACGCGTACGCCAGCTGATGATGTCTAGTTTAGTGAATGGAACGTGCATAGGCTGTAAATAACAAAATAAAGTTGCAAATAATGTTCAGCTTGCTGCACAGAGTGGTCGTTTGTGAGCCACACAGGAAGTATGATTTTATTTTTTCTCACAGTGATGGTGGCCATGACATGAGCGCACTTGGCAGTAAAAGTGAAACTGAAAGCGGTCACATCATTTAAATGGTCATAACGCATTTTAGAGTTATGATTATGACAAGCATTTGATATGGTTTTTCTTTCATTGCGAACACAAAGTGCTGTACATGAAAATAAATATTTAACAGTGTCAGTATAACTACTCTAGCTTATATATTGTTGAGTGTAGTGCAAGAGGAAATCTTATATTTTTATATTATAATCTTATTTTACCAGTGAAAAAAATAATCTAACAATGTTGTCAATGACAGATTGCAAACATACATCTCAAACACAATAATTCAACTTCAGAATTATGAATATTAATATTTCGATATCATCACTTTATTGTGCATTAACAACCAGGGTCTGTTCAAGTCCACCATTCCAAGTCTATACAAAATTTGCCATTTTAACCAACAGTAGACCTACACATAAGCCTAATATAATTGTTGTTTTTTTACCATATGTTTAAGAATAACTATAATAATAGCCTACTTGTATTAACCTTTTATTTACATCTATAGAATCGTGAGAAAATCTTGAATTTAGGCAAATAAATAAATAAATAAATGAATAAATAATTTTTAGCCAGAATCGTACAGCCCTAATTTAATACTAAATGGCCATCACAATAGATAAAATTTTATTATTACTAAAAGGCCATCAGATAGTCTACATGATTGCCTTTAAGTAATAAAATTTGATACTTTTGAAGCTTTAGATTTGCAGCCTTTTATATTAGCTTTCTTCACACTGTTGTCTGTGCAAACCAACAGAAAGCATGTAAGCCCATCTCAGGGTGTGTTTATTGTTGTTTTTAGTTCAATGAAAATTAACTATCTCTGTTAATTTGGTTCGTTTAAATAAGTGTAAAAGCTGCCTCTTAAACCTTAGTTTGCACCAAATAATGGATTTACAGTGCTTTAAATAGGGGTCTCTGTTTCCTTCCAAACAAACTCTGAAGTATGAGCACAACATGGACCAAACAACATGATGCACATTTCGCTCATTACCAGTCAGTACAGTAGGTGAAAACGGCAGCAGATTTGTGTGTGATGGAAGAATCCATGACACTGTTTTGACTTCATTCACCTTTTAGAAGCTCTTCACGAGTTTTCAAATGTTAAATATACCATCTCGTATATGCACAATGTATTACAATTGTGAATCATTTTGGATGCTTGATATCCTCCAGTGCAATATACACAAAACACTTTTTTTTTTTTTTTTTTGCTTTGTTACCAGAGATGCGCAAAGTAGGGCCCATGGGCCAAATTTGGCCCACTATAACTTTTGATTTGGGTCAGCATTTGAGAGGAGAGCGAGTATGATGGCAAAGGGTTGGGGGCAAATGCCTTAACACAGAGATTGTAATTTATAATTCGATGTAACCTTTTTTTAAAGGTTTTTGAGTTACAAAAAAAAGCTAACTGAAATTAATAAATTCTATTTAATTTTGTAAATGAATTTGATTTCATAAAATACAAATTCTGTTCCTCAACGGATAGATGACTAAGCAGAAGACATCGACAAGCAAATCAAGGACAAAAACTAGTGTAATTCTGTTCGAAAATGAGATTTTGTTTTTATTGTACTTAATTCATTATAAAATGTAAAAAAAATAAATAAATACTATGTTAGTTAATATGAAGGAACGTTTTCTAGAAATTTTTAAATATTATTAAATAAATTAGAAAATTTCCTATTGCAACTATATTTACCAAAATCTACCCTTTTGTTGTGCTAGGTTTTGCCATCTGATAATTGGCTAAAAACAAATTAGAGCTGCATAATAAAATTAAAAGTAAAAATTATAATAATTATTTTGTTTTTGATAAATTTATCACAATTTAAAATTATGACCTCTCTGTTAATTTTTTTTAAATATACTTCAGCAAAATCATTGCACAAAGAAGTAGAACTCATTCATATGGCAGATGCTAAAAATAAAGTTAAATAAAACCTTAATTTGATCAGTGTTTCTCAAAAGTGGGTCGTAGAAACATTTTCAGTGGGTCGCTGGGTGTGTGGTCAAAAAAACAACAAAAGTTTAATTTAACTTATTTTGCTTATACTGGACTTTTATTTTGAAATGCATGCATGACAACCCTACTGTTTGACATGTGAAATTTCTTTTAATAACAGCAACAAATATGTCGAAGCGCAAGTGCGACCCCGAATATGTAAAGTATGGATTGACATATTTTGACGACCAAAAAAGACTTATAGCCTCAGTGTGTCATATGTAGTCAGGTGCTCTCACAAGAGAGCATGAAACCTTCTAAATTAAAACAATATTTAGAAACCAGCCAACATGTTTTATTAACAGTTCAGTTTAGTTCATGGTAACTGAACCTTTTCTTACCCTAACCACTGTTAACAGTATTTGTCGTTTTTACTTAGTAACATTTCTATAATTTAATACATTTTGTTAAATGACAGCACTAAAATATTGTATATTTGTAAGTCTAAGTGATTTTCTTATGATTTATCTGTCACTACTTTTGTATGATAACAAATAAATACAAATTAATAATAATTCCTAAAATTGTATTATAGTTCCTAAAAATTTGGGTCGCAGCCTGATGACCATGTAAAAATGTGAGTCCCATGGCCAAACCAGTTGAGAACCCCTGAATTAGATAAAACTAAATTATGAATGCACAATCCTACATTTTACCAGCTGTAAGTGTTTTTAAATAACAAATTAAAATCAAAGTTATGCTTATGAGCTTCACAGGAGCTCCACATATGCAATCATGTTAAAAACCATATAAAATAGATGTGAAACAAAAAATAAACTTCAGATTTTAAACATTTCCATGTGAAACCCATGTGATTACATTTTAGCAAATGTGGACACTTAAAAACATGACACAGAAAATCACATGGATTTTACACCAATTCTCACAATATTTTATTATTATACAGCTAATGTATAGAGCATGTTGTTTTTTGTAATGACTATTAAACCAGATAAATATTATAGCTTTGCCAGTCTATCGTAGTCTTTTTGTGTTTTCATTTCAGGCAATGAATAAATATGGAGTCAAGTACCCTGCAACAGTGAGAGCAGCACACCGCTACAAACTCAGTGGACCAGAAATTCTTTGTGAAATTAAGGAGAAAGTTCAGGTCACAACTTTAACACCAGATATGGAGCCATTTTCTGGGTTTCCATGGGGCTCTCAGTTACCTCCACGCCAAATAACCTCTGATGTCGGCCCGTTCAAAACCTGTGCAGTGGTGTCGTCTGCAGGATCTCTCAAAAACTCTGGATTAGGAAAGGAAATAGGTAATGCCTAAATTTTTGACACCATCTAGATTTATTTCCTTGATTTGATATACACTAAAAATAAAATAAGTCTGTTTGGTAGATAGTGTATATACTGTGTTCTGATTTAGCTTATATTCAAATCTGAATTTCTATTAATATTTTATTATAATAAAAATATGCTTTAAGTTTTCTCACTCTGTCTTTTTGTTTTGTTTTAAATAATGCTGTAATGCTGTTTTTTTTTATTGATATGATCAGTTTAATCATATACATTTTTGGAGGAATAGTTCACACAAAAATGTTTATACGCTATTTACCTTCCCTCAAGTGGTTCCAAACCTTAATGAGTTTCTATTCTATCTTCTGTTAAAATAAATAAGATATTTTGAATAAAGCAGGTAATCATTGACTTCCATTGTAGGAAAAATAAAAACTATGGAAGTCAATGGCTACAGGTTTACAACCGTCAGATGTAGCTGTTTGGCTCTACCGTTCTTCGGTGGCTCATCCATGTATTAGATGACTCTATTACATACTGTACAATAAGTTAGCTGACCAAAGTAATTACGAGGAAAAGACTTTATTGAAGACAATGTATAGTACAGTTCCTCAGCATCGATGTTAACCCGTCGGTCTTTAAGGCCGTACTCACACTAGGTACAGTTGCCTCGAACCGGGCCAAAGCACGCTTGTCCCCCCCTCCCGTCTCCCCAGACGGCCCGCGCTCACACCACAAACGGGTTTGGCACGCTTACGTCATCGCTGCTGCGCTGTTCAGTGAGAAGCACTCTCTCACTCAGCAGCACAGTGGAGATTTCTCTAGTTATATCGTTTCAGTTGTTTGATATGCCGTCAAATATTTCGCCAAACAGTTCTTAGGGATGCGGGGACACGCAGTCAAATATTTCGCCGAACAGATCCGCCACTTTTGGCGCTCATAAACAATCATAAAGCTCTCGTGCTGCAGGAATGAAGAGGTCTGCTGAATGCGTGCAGCTGTCGTGCAGTGAGGGGTTTGCCTCTTTAAAGGGTCACGAAACACCAAAACACATTTTTTGAGCTGTTGACAGTCGTATATGTGTCCCACACTGCTAAAAACACTATTAGGACACCTATATTTCACTAAAAAGTGTAAATTGGTTGTTTTTGCGTTATTTCAAGCAAATTTGTACTTCCTGTTTGAAACGAATTTTTGAAGCTGCGTCACGGTCATGACATAATAGCGTGTATTCCAGCGTGCAGACTGGGCGTCTGTGCCAGAGTGAGTCTTATTACGTCTTACAGTGTGATACATTAATGCATGAGTAAGGCTTGGTTCAAACCAATCAGCGCGCTCTATTGTGGAACTTCATTAATATTCATTAGTGTCACCGTGTTTACGCCACAAAGACGCCACGTTGTGTTGGCAAAACAAGCGTGAAGTGTTGCGTTTATAGTTTGCTGCCGTTAAGTTTCGTTTTCATTTTCTCTCTGTGAGAGCTTATCTGGATCACGTGTGGATTACAGTGTACGCGATGCTCGACAACAATAACTTACGTAACTCAGGTAAAAATTGTTTACCTGAGAGCTGTTCTCATCTGCAAACGCTGAAATCTGAATTCGCTTGTAGTATTCTCTCCATATAGACGCGGCTCTAGTTGCTGGTGATTGTCCTGTCTCTACAGATTTGGTAAGTGAGCGACCAGTGCTCTTTGTTTATTCAGTTTGTTCGTATCGAATTAAGTTACTATTGCACTGAGTGCAGAAATGTAAGCACCGCATTTTGTGACCGGAATAACACACGCGGCTTTCTGACGCTACCTGCCGTGTGCATCTAAGTTTCCGGGAAATGCGGAGTTTTTTTCTCTCTCATTCGCCGTGCGGTATCAAACATTGCATGAAAAATACACGCTTGCAGCAGTTCCTTGAATCAAATATTTCGTTTGTCGCGAGAGGCATGAATGAATTCCCTGAATGAAAGAGCCAAACTGCAGTTAAAGTCCAACTTTTAATAATTTGGCAAATAATTCGACTACAGATGTCCATGTAAACACAGTCACATTGTCCGCTGTGGGTGTGTATTTTGACTCTGAAACTCGCGCGTGCACAAATAGACACTCCCACACCATCCCACTTTAGTTTCTCCGACACTCCCCCCTAGCTGGACACGCCCACTTTTCTGACTTTTTCCAAAGTGGAGGTGTGAAAACACCCTGCTGAAACGAGGGGGTTTCATGGCCCTTTAATAAACTACGGCAGTTTGCGTTCACTGAACAGTAAGAATTATTAATAAATCCATATGAAACAGTGCCTTAAAAGTCACATCTCGCTTTCAGTTTCGGGCTTTGGCGCGTTTTCCACTCACACACAAGCGTACAAAGCCCAAGTGAACCGGGCTCAGGCACACCTCTTCCAACCGGGCCAGGGCCGGCCAAGTGAACCGTGCTTGAGCCCGATTCAGCGCACTCAAACGATCCGGGAAACAGGCCTGGGCACGGTACGGATGGCATAGTGTGAGTAGGCCCTAAGTAACTTAACCCAAAGTACTGTCTGTGAGACACTACTTTATACTAACTTCAAACAAACCCTTGTTTATTTACAAAGCTCAGCAGGAACCTCTTATCAGATGTTTCAGCTGCTGTTAGGCTTATACCCATTGAAATTGTGAAAGGCTCACACTCATCATAAAAGGGTCATTTAGTTCAGGACTTCCCAAACGTTTTAGCCCGTGACCTCCAAAATAACAATGCCAGTGACTTGCGACCCTTATATTCCTCTGAGGTGCTTATAAACATGCAAATGTTGCACATACAATAATAGGCCTATATAAATTTAATTTGCATGTTGTTGTTTTTTTAAATGTAACTATTAACCCTTTTTATTTCCTCTGAGTTATGGTTAAAATATGGTAATACCAATAGTTTGATCAAATTTATTTAACTTTGGAAATTCACCAAATGACCCCCCACCCCCACCCCCACCCCATCAATTGATAATTCATAGTTTTGGGTGAACTATCCTTTTAGGTGTTTGTCACTATTCATTTATATACAATAGACAAAGCAATTTGCATTGAATTATCATGAAGAAATACCTGAATTTTGATACTCCATTAAAACATTGGAAATACTCCACCCCCACAATGTCTGCTATCTATTCTACAATCAAAATAATTCTGATTTTATACATGATGCAGTATTACTAATAAAGTTTCTGAATTGTAGATTCTCATGACGCAGTGATACGATTCAATGCCGCACCGACAGCTGGTTTTGAGACAGACGTGGGCTCCAAAACAACAGTGCGCCTTATTAATTCACAGGTAATTTCCTTCAACTAATGAAAAATGTAAACAGCATATGGTTACATGCTTATGAAATTCATTGCTTGTTTCTTGCATAGTTAATGGCATCTGAAGACCACCATTTCCTCTCCAGCTCTTTGTACAGTGCAGGGATTTTAGTGAGCTGGGATCCTAGCCCTTATTCTTCAGATCTATGGGAGGTAAGAATGGGCTTTGTGTACTTTCTAGCATTCTTCAAACACAAAAAAAGGCAAAAAACCCTGCTTTCTCACTGACTATTGCGTGTACCCGTAGTATGTACTTGTGCTGGTTGCACCATACAACCACTAAGCCACTCCTCGTTAGTATAGTGGTAAGTATCCCCGCCTGTCACGCGGGAGACCGGGGTTCGATTCCCCGACGGGGAGATGCTAATCTTTTTTTCTTGTTTTCCCAAGTATGCATCACTACATGGTGTTGGTATACAATACTTTAAACAAATTCTAATCAAAAACCTAATTGCAAACAGTTCTTTTAATTGTCTAAACAAGCTGTTTGTCTTTTCACATTAAATTACACAAGTAAAATGGGAAAATGAGAAAATGGCCAAAAATTGGAAAAATAATAAAAAATAATAAAAATAAATAAATAAATGTGTATGTATGTATGTGTGTGTGTATATGTGTGTGTGAATATATATATATATGTATGTATGTATGTATATATATATATATATATATATATATATATATATATATATATATATATATATATATATATATAAAATATTTGTACAATATTTATATAATAACTGTAATACACATATTAATAGATCTGTTAAAATTATTAGTGTTGTCTAAAACATAATTAAAGTGAAATTCAAAGAAATATTTAAAATTGTGAATTGAGTTATTCTATTACATTGATAAAATTATACACATATATATCATAATTGTAATGTACAACAATGTCATTCAAAACTATTGTTAATATTTACAATATATAACTATATATAAAATGTATAGTAATTTTGTCTACAGCTATTCACAAGACAAATGTAAAACCTTTTAATACCTTTATAATACTATCTTTTATTTAATCATGATTTTGACATATTTCAAAATCATTTTCTTTTGAATTTAAGCTCAAACTGAATTTCTTTAACTTCACTCACAATGCATACATATTGAACCTAAAAAACAATCAAAATGTAAAATAAGAATTATTTTTTCACAATTCTGATTTATTATTGCAACATATATTAACAGTACTGCAAAACTCAATTAAATAAATAAATGTGTGTGTACATATGTGTGTGTGTGTGTGTGTGTGTATATGTATGTATGTGTGTGTGTGTGTGTGTGTGTGTGTGTGTGTGTGTGTGTGTGTGTGTGTGTGTGTATATATATATATATATATATATATATATATACAATCACAATTATTTTGGTCATAATTGTAATCACGATTATTCATTATTAATTCAAGATTAATCAGTTGAAGTCAAAATTATTAGCGCTCCTGACATTTTTAATTTTTAAATAAATATTTTCTAAATTATGTTTAACAAAGCAAGGAATTTTAACAATATTTCCTCTAATATTTTTTTCTTCTGGAGAAGGGCTTATTTGTTTTATTTTGGCTAGAATAAAAGCAGGTTTAAATATTTTGAAACCTATTTTAAGGTCAATACATTAGCCCCTTTAAGCAATATATTTTTGGGTTGTCTGCAGAAGAAACTACTGTTATACAATGAACTGCCTAATTACCCTAATTAAGCCTTTACACTTTGAATCTGAATGCTTGTATTTTGAAAAATATCTAGTAAAATATTATGTACTGCCATCATAAAACTATTAAGTTCAGAAAAAAAGTAGAAAAATCTTCTTTCCAATAAACAGAAATTGGGGGGAAAAGGGTTGCTAATATTCAGGAGGGCTAATAATTTTGACTTTAACTGCATATATGCAGTTATTTTCCACGCTGCCAAGGAAAAAAAAATAAATACAATACAATAAAAATATGAAACAAACCGTGCTTTAAGCATCTTCACTGTAAGAAAAACACTAGTCCTTTAGTCATGAGCAGTGAGTGATTTTCTCCTTTTGTTGTTTAATTAATGACAAAAACAGGCGGCAGCAGAAATATTGCGCTGTCACTTTAATGGTTTCGCTTTCACATGTCTTATGATTCTCAACTTGTTTGTTTATAACACTATTGAGGGTTAATATGAATAATCACTAAACAACGAGTTTTGATACCTATTTGACCATTAAAGCGCTCACGTTAAGATGACTTTAGATGTGTGCACTCTGCTCGTCTCAGTGTGCAAATGAGACCGAATGCTGACCGCATGCTTCTGACTGTGTGCACGCTGCACACATGCACAGAAGCATGCGGTCTTTCACGCTTTTAAGAGCAACAAATGAGTACAACTGGAAAGGGGGTGGTATATGATGCAATAATAGTTTATCTCGATTAATGATTTTTAATAATCGTTAGAAGCCAAAATGTTCAATTAATTGTACAGCCCTAATTTATATATATATATATATATAAACACACAATACCGGTCAAAAGTTTGGGGTCAGTAAGATTTTTAAATGTTTTAAAATAAGGTTGTCCTGCTCACCATAGCTGCATTTATTTAATCAAAAATACAGTATAAATTGTAAAATTGTGAAATGTTATTGCACCATAAAATATTTGTTCAAAATAAGTTTATAATTTAATTTAATCATTTATTCCAGTGATTTTAAAGACAAATTTTCAGCTTAATTACTAAAGTCTTCAGAGTCACAGGATCTTTCAGAAATCACTCTAATATTAATCATTGTTATTATTTTTATTATTAATATTATAATTATTAATGATAATAGTAACAAAAGCAATAATGACTGGACTAATACATTTATTTGAAAATACATATAATAAGTAATAAATAAATATTTAATAAGTATTTAACAATTTTTGCGCATTTAATAAATGCTGCCTTGATGAACAGAAACATTTTATTAAAAAAAAAGATGGAAAAAAACTATTTATATATATTATATATATATATATAATTTATATATATTTAAAAATTCTTTTCTTGTCTTTCAGTGGTTCAACAAGACAGATTACCCCATATTTAAACAGTATCAGCGATATCGCCGCTTGCACCCTCAGCAGCCATTTTACATTGTACATCCGCGAATGGAATGGCAGCTGTGGCAGAGAATACAAGACAACATGGGTGAAGCCATCCAAAAAAATCCACCCTCATCAGGCCTGCTGGGTAAGTTACACTGAGTATTTACATAAAACAGGGAAAGTTGATCATAAATATTAGGGCTTTTGGGCTTTTCATTATTATAAAAAAAGTCAGTGTAAACCAAACTTCTCATTTGTAAGTGTTTAATTTTTCCCTCTTTTCATACTCGCATGCAGGAGTTTCCTTTTGTATAAATCTCTACTTCAGCACCACTTACACAGACCAAACTTTTTCTCATGTATTCTGACATTGTTGTTTTTTTACATAGAATTATGTCCATACTGTACATAATTTGCCTGATTATATGCTGGAACATGCTATTAAACAAAAATAAATGAAAGTTCACAGTATTTCTGAAGTAGGCAGTGACAAAAAAACCTACAAAAACTAACCCAATTTCTAACGTAATCAAACAATTGGGTAATTACATCAATAACTAAGGCAACACACTGCAGGTGAGTACTGTAAAAGCCAATTAAAGAATCCACAATAATTCTCCTTTATCTCCATAGGCACAGTTTTAATGATGTCCCTGTGTGAAGTGGTACACGTGTACGAGTTCCTGCCATCGCGGCGAAAAACCGAGCTGTGCCACTACTACCAGCGCTTCAGTGATGCTGCCTGCACACTCGGAGCCTACCACCCATTACTCTATGAGAAAAACCTGGTCAAGAGGATGAACCAAGGCTCCGACCGAGATATCTACACACTTGGCAGGGTCACTCTTCCTGGGTTCGCCACATTTAACTGCACTTCCAGCACTCATTCAAAAACGTAATCTGAGAGTGAACTGTTTTGCTCGGTACACTCTCAGAATGTAACAATACAGCGCATGATTAACAAGTATTCATTCTGATCTCTGAGGGAGATCAGGAGTCGGCTTTACGGGTGGAGAACGAAAAACTAACACACTAAAAACGAAGGGTTGTTTATGGAGATTCTTAACTCACACGGACACAAAATAACAGTAGAAGTTCTGTGTAGTTGTAAACTACCAACCATTATTTCCTAGCTTGCCCCATAGTGGAAAATGCAAACTGTTTGCTGTTAATTAACAGAAAAGATCTCAGTATCACATATTTGCCTCTCAATGACATTCAGACACTGCCTAATGTGACATATATACAGGATAGTTAAGCCAAACAAGAAAATTTGTTGGAAATCGAATCATCCTCAGACTATCCTAGATGATGGTGACTTTTTTGTCAAACATTAAAGATGTTTTTGTGCTGAACCAGAGTTTCTTTTTTTGTGCCTAACCAATGTTCCTTGGTTTTTCATAAAATGACAGTTTTATTCTAGGTAAAATTGTTATATTAAATATGATGTTTTCAAACAATGTTCAGTTTCTTGCACAGACCAAATGATCCTTATCATTAGATCCTCAGTGTATTATGGGTTTTGCTTGTGGCCATTGACTGCATTTTATGAATCTCCAAGGACCAGAGTATCAACTAAAAATCAATTTAATGATCTAAAGAAGGAAACGTCACCTACATCTTGGATAACAAAAGGTTGAGTAAATTAACAGCACATTTTCATTTTCAGTGCACTACAAATTCAAGCACTAATCTAAAAAAATAACAAAAAACAAAAAATGATTAATTTCTGGGCCCGTACTCACAATAAGACTTATTGCTAAAAATAAAGTATATCTTTATAATGATGGACATGGACTAAATTTGGAACTCTAAAATGTAAGTATTAAAATATTTCACAAAGCATTTTAGCACTAAAACTAGTCCTTTATCGGTTAAGTATTAGGAGTAGTGAAAAAGTCTCTCAAGTCATGAAGAACAAACCACAAACTATCCTAAGATGTCTCAAAGTGAACGTTTTAGGGACATTTGACCATTAAAAATGTAAAAAAGTTATCACCTTTATCAGCGTTATTATGACTGTTGCTAGGATACAATCACTTCACCAACAAATACAAACATTGATTTTAGTTTTTAAGCAAAGCTCACTCCCATTTACATGCAATTTCCATTATTCATATTTTTTCTTAAGAATTTGTATTTATTATTTTTTTTACCACAATTATTTAAATGTCCAAATAAGTCACTGTGTGCAAGAGTGCTACTGGTCACCTTTTTAAATTTTTTAACATCTAATGCATAACATCACTGTATTTACATTAGAAATGTGACAGTGACGCCATCTTATCCATGTTTGCCTGTGCTGCAGTCATGTTCTACATATTGACTCTGGATGAGGGTAAAGAGTGGGAACTGCTCAATGATTTGAATGGAAGGAAAATTTCAGAATCTCAGATATCATACATAAAGGAAAATATTTCCATCTCCAAATTAGTCCACAAGGGTTTTATATTTGTGCACCTATAACACTGGAGATGAGGGTGGCAAGAGTTATACTAACTTTTGTACAAGTATCAAAATAACATAACATCATAATAATAGAATAATATAACATAACAAAATGAAATAATATCAGTTTCAGAGTCCACAAAAGCACAGTCAAAAAGTAGGTAAATTTGTCCTGTAAAATCATGAGTCCTGTGAAACATGAGTTAGAACATGGGCCGATCAAATCTCACGCCTCTTTTGAATGGTTTACTAATAGCAGCGAGCATTTTGCGCATTGCTTTTGCGCCCTGCGCGTCTCTCGTTTTTGCCTTTGCGCGCCATGCGCTCTCATCTGAAATCAACTCAGAGCGGAAAAAGCATGTTATATCACTCGCGTCTTTTTCATTCTCCAATCAAATGAAAGCAGAGGCTGGTTTTCCATTGAGGAGCCTGCAGTGTTTATGTAGTCAAGAAAACAAGGGAGAGTTTTGAAGATAGAGAAGAAATCCGGAGCTGTATGACTTCACAAATCTTGAATATCACAATATTATTAGACATTAAAGTTATTTTAATAACAACAGCAACACTCTTGCAAAATACCCAGCTGACTCAGTCTTTGCCTTGTGACATAAAAAAGCGCACCTTGCGTTTTTTAGACGTAAATGCACATTCAATGTGATCGGCCCCTCGGGCTGCATTTACACTCTATAGCTTGATGGTCAATCCTAATTTTGTGACTGAATCTTTTTTTTTTTTTTGATGACCAGCTTACATCATCTTTTAAAGTGGTTTGTATCCGATTGTCTGCATTTACACGGCAACGGCAAAGATGAAATGACTTGGGGAAAAAAAAGAGCGGGCACTGACTGACAGCTGATATCAAAAAGCACTCTTTTTTCCATTCCTGTATTTAATGTTTGCAAGGTTTAATTTCTTAAATTCTTTTAGACAAGTTATTTTACTAGAGTTTATGACAGAAACTATCTCATTTGGCCATCTTCTAAGGCCTTTTTAAACCAGTAGTCATCTTAATCTTAATGACTTTGGCGTGATTTTCGCGCATGATGTATGCAACAGTTTTATATTAGTTTATATGTTGATCTCTCTCTCTCTCTCTTTTAGCTTTTTTAGTCCTTGTGTATGAGATTTAAGGTTTGGGACTCTGCTGAAGTCTGTTCTAAAATGAAAGCCAAGAGTTGACGTTATTTGCTACAGTACAATAATGTAATTTGTCTATATTAAAGCCCCCTATACAATTTGCTGCAATTATGAGCTTGATTGCATTATTTAAATGAGGTGAAGCTTAATTGCATTATGGCCAAAATCTCAATATAATCACATGACTAGTATCATCCATTATTACTTTATTAATTAAAAAGCTGTTTATATGCATGTCCACTAACTGTTTACAAGAAGCACACAAAGATGCTGACAAATAGTTGGAACATATACTTGTCTTAATTAACATTATTAAAGAAAACATTTTTATTTTGAACGCGGCACCATTTTTTTTTTTTTGAACCAACATTTGAATATGGCTACCTTACCTTGGCCTCTACAATATTTCTATGACTAAATCTCTGATAGAGAACCGTCCCCTGTCAGCCAATCATTGTGTAAATAGTTAATGATCATGTTGGCATCTATAGAAACGAGGTCAACCCAACCCTTCCTCTTAGCTTACATTCCTCATTAAAAGCTTTGCGGACAGGTTTTAGGCTAAAACTCTGAGCTAAAATCTTTTACTGCAATTTAGGAGAACACTTGGAGGTAAGATTAAACGTCTTGTGAATACGGGCCCTGCCATTTTGCAGCCACTCATCCACAATTTCACAAAAAAGTCCAGATTATCAGAGAAAATAAAGCTCTTTGTTGGAAAGTAGCCAAGATTCTGTCCATTAAAGTGTAGCACGCAAAGCTCTATGTCCAAAGCCAGCCTGCTGCTTCCCTAACGTGCAGGTTGTTTTTCGATTTATGCAACTGCAATCCTAACACATTCATGCAAACTGTAAAGTGATCTTGCCAACACACATGCCATTAGCAAAGTAATGCTTTAAAGCGACATATTTTTTGAAAGATGGAGATCTGTATGCATTCAGTATTTACACTGTGACACCTTTCCTCTTATAGCACTCTGTTACACTTGTAGGGCCGTGGAGAATGTCCTTGCATGCTTTACTGAAATTGCACTATCATACCTTTGGTAAACTTGTATTTAGTTGTATTTAATAACTATTGTTAGAAGGAAAAGACATACAGTGCATGATTTAATGTTTTAAAATTCAACTGAAAACACAGGAACAAGATATATTTAGGCGTTTTTTTGGGGAAAAGGAGCATTTATTTATGGCTGTATTATTGATTTGGTGTGTTTTTACAGGATATGTCAATGTGTCTCTTCCATATTCAAACACTTAGATTACCGTGTGTAAATATAAATCCTGCTCCTAGCGATACAAGTTATTCTAAACCCTCAAGTGTGTGGGGCAGGCCACTAACATTCATACATTATCCATTTAGAAACATTTAGATTTTCTAGCATACAAGCTTTATTTTTTGCCTCAATTAACATGAAACTGACATGATTTGTTTTCCGACTTTACTAAAGCAACTTTTGGTCAATGCTGATAATGTTTACTTTACATTAGAATGATGAACTGAACTGCTGAAATGTGAAATTATGCTTTTTTTAAAACTGCTTTTACTTTATTTTTTTAGGGCAGAACATAATCTTTATATGTGATTTGTAGCATAAAGCAAATTCTAATAACAAAATGTTTAAAAATGAAATGAAAACGCTATAAGCATAGAATGTATTTTACATTTACGATTACAAATAATTGCTAATTTATAAAAACAATGCTCTTTTCTGCAAAACAAGTCAAATGAGTCGTAAATGAGCGTTGTTATGGTGTTGCAAAGTTTTAAAAATATATATTAAATCGATCAAAGTAATCTGGGCTATGCACATGCAAACTGTCAAATGTAAATATGTTTTATTTTTTTATGTCTATTCCATATTTCTCAAATACCATGACAAATTCGTTTTTATTTCCCAAGAATTTTCCCTTTAAGAATTCTGTCAGCATTAAAAGAATTAAATTTTTTTTTGTTAAAATGCCAAAGTTGTCGTACAAACACAATGGAATTGAGGGATTTACTAGACTGCAATAAAGGTTGTAAAATGAAACAAGGCTGGACAAAACCATTGTATGTTCTGAACAATGGATAGTATATGTCTTTTAATTACAGCAAAATGAAAATGGGCAATGTACAGATATTCAGAAATCCTTGTTTATAGCGATAAGTGAACTGCAGCTTACAGCTTAATTGCTTGTTAAGCGTGTTGTCACGCGAATTGGCTTCCAGGTCCAAGCGCTATATTAAATAGTATTGGGAGACTTAACAAATGGTAATATTAAACGTGTACAAAACGATGTAATATTTTTGAAAATCTCAATCACATTATATATATATATATATATATATATATATATATATATATATATATATATATATATATATATATATATATATATATATGGGGACGGATTTCGGGGCCCTAAGCAGGTATGGGGCCCAAGTATAATACATTTTAAGTGAAACTTTTATGTTCTTAATGTAAAAATTAAATACACTAAATTCACAAATAATAAAACAAGTTACAACTATGTATACAGTTAATAAGCCATATTTGTGATTAGATTTTAATATTTGTATGTGCAGTATGTAAGGAACATTCCACTGTTCATTGGCCCCCCCCCCGGATTTGAAAAGTATTCAATCATTCATTTTCTTTTCGGCGTAGTCCCTTTATTAATATGGTGTCACCACAGCGGAATGAACCGCCTTAAAAAGAAGTAATAACGTTAAAATCTTAATGGTTACAGACAAATTTTGATTAATTTAGGCAATTCTTGGCATTGGT